CAGTTTGTTTTTTGGGTTGGTTTTTTTTTTAGTTTGAACTGCAGACAACGTGGATCTGTCTTTTCCCTGGTGAAAGGAAACTCCTACAGTCAGAGACAGAAAAGGAGGGAGGGAAAAAATTTGCAGCTTCATATATTATTATTATCTTAAAACCTGTCAAGCCCTTTCAATTGTGCTGTTTTAATTGTGTTTATTAAAAAATTTAAATGAGGCAAGCTCTGGTGGCCTAGTGGCAGGAAACTGCACTACAATCCCAGAGGTGTGCGGTTCAAGTCCACCGGATGCTCTGCTGAAGAAGGAGGAACAATCGCCTCCTGTACCAATCAGATCCAATTTGACGGTACACACATAAAAAGAGTAAATAAATAAAAAAAAAATTTAAATGAAAAGATATTACATTGGAGACATTTCTTCTTAAATGAAGTTACCCAAAAGTTTGCCACTTTGCTATTTTTCATATTAACTCCCGTGTGTGTGTGTGTGTGTGTGTGAGTTGTAGTGCTCACTTTTATGTATCTGTTTTTAAAGTCCGTTTTTTCCTGATCTTGCTTTCTGTCTTCACTTCAGGTTCACCGGTTTGCGCTCCCAGTGCTGCACGGCTGTATCCTTACCTAGTGCTCAACTCGGGGTTTCTAGCAATCTTCATCAGTTTTAGGACGAAACCATTTTTGAGACAACCTCAGGTTTTCAGTCAGTCCAGTTTCAGGATTCATAGAAAGTGTGTTGATGCAAAAAAAAAAAAATCAAGCTCGTTGACATAAAATCTTAGACTACCGCTTGTGCACTGGTATTGTTTTATTCAAGAATGGCCCTTTAGACTAAGTCTTTCTCTCTCTTCAGAAGTTAGGAGTTTGGTGGTGTAAAGAGAAGGAATGCGTGCTTTGTATTTTGCCTTTGTTAGACTTTGCTGATACCGTGGAGCAGTGAGGAGCTCTGGTGGCCTGGGCCGTAGGGGGTCCAGCTGCTTACTCAGGCCTCTGGTGGTTCTAGCCCCTCAGCGACTCCAAGGAGAGAGGGCCGAGCACTCTGCAGAGTGAGTTACAGCTTTGGAACCCTGGTGGAGGGTCGGCTCTCCTTCGGTTCCATCTAAGTAGTAGTTTGTTTGGGTTTTTTAGTGTGTGTGACTACTAGGGAGCTCTGTGACCTAGTGGCAAGAAGCTGCGCTGCAATCCTGAAGGCACGTGGTTCGAGACCACCAGCTGCTCTGTGGGAGAGGATGGGCAGTCTCAGGAGGGTTAGCTGTGGGTCAGTTCTGACTCAATGGAACTCAAGAACAACCGTGGCTAACTAAAATAGTCTTTCGAGCCTGACCATTGAGATGAAAACGTTCCTCAATACATCAGAAAGTGAGACTCAGGAACTAGGGTGACCAGCAGCTTGAAGGGGAGAATCACAATTAAGGATTGTGTTTGTCATTGAAATGACACCCCTCCCCAAAAGAAAAAGAACTTGAGTCCAAAGTATAATACTGAAGAGGGGAAAATATGGTACAGATGCAGACTGAGTAATGGCTACCTAATTCTAAGTTCGTTTGAAAAGCTTACCTTTGGTGTAGATAGGACAGTAAAGGGTGAAGAGTTGAGGAACAAGCGAGTGGCCTGACAGGCGCCTGCAGTCAGGATTCTGTCCTGCAGAGACTGAGTCAGCAACTTTCTGTGGAGTGACCCCCCCCCAGGAGCATGGGGTCACAGCAGCCTGGGATGAGTTTTTAGGAGGAATATAGGGCTTTTGAGACGTTTCAAAGGAATGTTTTTTAGAGATGGTTAAGAATTAGAAGAGAAATCTTAATGGAGTAAAGAAATCGAAAAGATTGCTCAGTTATAAATGTTTGAACTAATCTCACTCAAAAACCTCAAACTCAGTACCCTCGAGTCTGAACCAGCTCAGTGGTGCCTCCCCAGCAAGCTTCTGAGGCTGTAAATTGGACAGGAAGAGAGTGTGTCTTTCTGCTGTCGAGCGGCTTGTAGATTCAAACCCTTGGAGAGGGGCAGCATTTACATTGGCCCACAACTCCCTGCGGACCTCACCACCAGCACTCCCAGCTTCCTGTGTTGTATTTGATTGCCAGGGTACTTGTGTTTTAAGTAGAAAGGAAATGCCAGTATGGAATACTTTAAAGTTTATCTGGCACATTTAATGAGCTGAAATGATATTTGTTTGTACATTATATAAACATGTTTGGATAGAGCGTGCAGTGAATTGGTGCTTCCCGTTTGTATCTTATTTCAAAATGAGTTTGTAATTGGACAAACAATATCACTATTTTGGAACAGTTCGAAATAGATCTTAGAAACCGCGCACCTCTGAGATTGTAGTTGCACCTTCTTGCCACTAGGTGGACTGTTGTCTTACATAGAATGCCTGATCATATATTCCTGTTAGACAGTTCTCTTTTTAAGGCTTGTGGAGATTCCTGAGCAGCCAGGAAGACTTGCGTGTTTTCAGCTTTCCCCTCCTCCTCCCCCCTTTTAAACATAGAGCCGTTCTCCCTGAGATAAATAATTCCCTATTGAATTTGGAGATAATATATCTGATTTCTTTAGCTGCTACATTTTCCTTAATGTGTTTAAGTCATCACTATGCACTCATGTTCTATCAATGGAAAATACTTTGATTGGATTCTCATCTCAAGAAGGAGTTGTTTCAGAGCCGGTGTGCGCTATTATGTAAGAGGTGAGATTTGTTTTCTTAACTTGATTCAGGGCCGTGTCACCTCTGTCGCTAACATTGTGTCTTATGGTGGCATTTGTTTTCATTGTAATTTGGTAGTGGTGGTTGTGTACGTAGAACGGGAACTGACCCATAGCCGACCCATGCTCCTGAATGTTCTCAGAGGCAGTTAATCACAGGGGAGGAGATTGCCCTTCCAGCTCCCTTGAAGCAGCTAGTGGTCTTGAACCACGTGCCTTTGGGATTGCAGCACAACTTCTTGCCACTAGGTCACCAGAGCTCCCATCATTTGGTAGTTGTTGTTGTTAGTAGCTTGCAACTCATAGCGACCCTAAACCCTGCGCTGTCTTGTGCCAATCGCACTGTTTCCGACACACCCATCCCGATTACCCCAGTCACTGAATCAATCCACCTCATAGAGGGTCTTCCCCTCCTGCGCTGTCCCTCTACCCTCCCAAGCATGTCCCTCCACCCTCCCAAGCATGTTGTCCCTCTCCAAGGACCAGTCCCTCCTTACAACACGTCCAAAGTATGTCAGATGAAGCCTCAGAATCCTTGCCTCCAAGGACCAGCCTGATTTAACCCTTTTCAGGATGAATCTGTTTGTTTTCCTAGCAGTCTGTGGTACCTTCAATACTATTCTCCAGCACCACAGCTCAAAGGCATCAATTCTTCTATCCTTCCTAGCCATTGTCCAACCCTCTGACACATAATAAGTGATTGCAAAGACCGTGGTCTGTATCAGATGCACCTTAGTCTCCAGTGTGACACCATTGTTCTTCAGTACTTTAGAGAGGTCCCTAACAGCAGACTTTCCCATTGCAATGCATCTTTTAATTTCCTGGTTGCTGGTGCCAAAAATGTTGACTGTGGAGCCAAGCAGACTAAAGCTGTGAACAATCTCAATTAAATGTTTGTCTTCTGCTTCATTGAAATAATAGATAGGATGTCTGTGCCTCTAAAGGCGTTCTAATGGTGGCACAGTGCTTGACTGCTAACTGAAAGGGTGGGGGTTCAAACCCACCAGAACTGCTCCGTGAGAGAGAAGCGTGAAGCACTCTGCTTCCATAAGGATTTACAGCCTTGGGGCCCCATGGGGTAGTTCTGCTCTGCCCTGGAGGGTTGCTATGAGCTGGAATCAGCTCAATTTCATGGGGTAAGTGGTTCCCCCTCCCTTTTCTGTACTTTGCCCAGCCTACTGGAATTACCTTGAATGCGGTAATGTGACGCCGAAGGTTACTTTTCCCCTTCCACTGCTGTTTGCTCAATGATAACACAGCTGAATGTAGTATAGTTTTTAACAACCCAAATTCTTTATATTTTTAAATTCTTCTGTATATTAAGGAAACACTTTATAAATTGTTAGATTTTTTAGTATTTATTCTTTAGGGGTTTTTTTTTCTCTCTTTCTTTAAAATTTATTGTTAATTTCAGTAAAAATTTACAGACTCTGGATTTACATTCATTCATTGTTGCACTTTTTCCCCCTCCCAACCCTCCCCTCTAGTACACTACCCTCTTGGAAAAGTAAAAAAAAATTCTTTCATTGTTTTACAAACCCTCCCCCAGGTCCACTCCACCATGTAGCCTTTGCTCTAGACTCCTGTCATGACAAAAATACCTAATCACATATCCCTTTTAAACAGTTTTCTCCCTCATCTGTTTCAATGCAGTGTACATTATTGAACCCATCTTTCTCAGTCTCTCCCCAACCCCGATGTCAGTCCTGTTTTACAACAGTGGCACCATGCAGTATTTTTCCTTTTGTGACTGAGCTACTTCACTCAGTATAATGTCCTCCAGGCTCACCCATTTTGAACAGTATTGCATGAGTTCCTTGTTTTTCAGTGCAGCCTAGTATTCCATTGTGTGAATATACCACAGCTTCTCTATCCATTCGTTTGTTGATTGGCACTTAGGTTGTTTCCAACTCCTTGCTATTGTGAACAAAGCCGCAATAAACATGAGTGTGCATATATCTGCTTGGATGTCAGTTATGGTCTCTTTGGGGTATATTCCCAGTAGTGGAAGTGCTGGGTCAAATGGTATTTCTATTTGCAACTTTTTGAGAAAGTGCCATACAACCTTCCATAGTGGTTGCACCACTTTACACTCCCAGCAACAGTGAATAAGGGTTCCAGTCTCTCCACAACCTCGCCAGCATTTGTTGCCTCCTGCTCTGTTAAATTTTGCAATTCTGACTGGGGTGAGATGGTATCTCATAGTTGTTTCCATTATATTATAAAAGAAACAAAGCAGACTTTAAAAGCTTGGTTGGAGTAAATTAACAATTTGATATACAAACCAAGCTTTTAAAGTCTGCTTTGTTTCTTTTATAATATAATGGAGTTTCTCCAACCCTTCCTATTTTTACGTTTTGCTATAAACTACCAGGATAAACTGTGATATTAAATGAATTGCATACATTTTGACTTAGGAAACTGGTGATTATTTGGTTAATATCCTCACTCCACAGGATCTAGCAGGAGAAGAAGGAAGACACTGAGTGACCTGGCCAAGGGTTAGGGAAACAGAGTTAGCAGCTCCTTGCTAATAGATTTTCTTGAATGGGAACATACTTTTAGAATTTATTTTTAAAAGTAGGTTTAGGGGAGCTCTGGTGGCCTAGTGGCAAGAAGCTGCACTGCAATCCCAGAGGTGCACTGTTTGAATCCACCAGATGCTCTGCTGGAGAAGGAGGGACAATCTCCTCCTGAATCAGTCAGATTTGATTTCACGGTGCGCGCACGCGCACACACACACACACACACACACACACACACACACACACTCAAAAAAAGAAAAAGGCTTAGAAGCGAGGGCTGTTTAAATGTCATCTCACTACTTTGAGCGTATTGTCAGGAGGGGCTGGTCCTTGGCAAAGAACATCATGGTGGGAAGAGTGGAGGGTCAGAGAGGAAGGGCCTCTACAAGGTGGATCGACACAGTGACTGTGAGAAGGACTGGAGCATGTCCGAGGTTGTGAGGCTGGCATAGGACAGGGCAAGATGGCCAGATCCAGATCTGTCGTTCATAGGGTCACTGTGAGTCGTAAGTGCTGCCTTAGTGACTCCTAACAGCAACAACAGCACATTCACATAGTTCAAATATAAAAACCTCTAAAGGCATACAGTTAAAAGAAGCGTCTCGTGTCTTACCCTCTGCTCTCAGTTCTCACTCCTCTACCCACTGGCTAATTACTAGTTTCTCATTCATCCTTCCTGGTTCTCTCCACACTCTTACAGCCATGATTCTCCGCCCCTTCATTGTGCACAATGTTGTGTATGTTGCACATCTTTCTGTGCCTTGTTTTTTCCATTTTCTTTCTTAAACTTTATCTTTGAAGTCTTTTTTCTAGATCTCTCATTCTCTTAAATCCCTCCATGTTATGCCTTAATGGGAACTATGAAGAGAAATAAGAACTGTCCACACTTCTGAGAGATGCTTTCGGGAAGCATTGAGAAATCATTTCATTTTTAGTTTGCCATAATAATTTTGTTCTTTCTGGTCTTTTATCATCTTAACTAACAAACTGACACTATACATAGACTTCAAAATGTTCTACTTGAGAACTGTGTCTTTGAGGATGTTAAATATTTGCAACAGTTAAAGCACCATTGATTTATTTCTGGTGATTTTGTAGTCTGAGTCATAGAGTAGCTTGAAAATGGCTTTGCTTAGATACAAGCCCTTTCTTCCTTGTAAAAGCAGATCAGGTAGAAAAAAACATTTCAAAAGTTTTCTTTTCATACGTGAAAACCTAACCAGTATCAAGATTCTAGATGCTGTAGATCAGAGCTTCTCACATGGAGGTTTTTGTGGTTATAGAAGTTGAGAAGTTAATAGAAGTTTTAGAAACATACAGTTTTTGTTTTTTAATCATTAAAATCAGCCTGAACATCTGCTGGACATCTTATTTGCTTTTTTTAGAATTGAATGCAGTTTACATAATGTTCCGCATTTGCATTGAATGTTATTGCTAAATATGGTCACCTAAATAGAATGTTCAACTTTTAAAATACTCTTTTTTCCCCTGCTGGGGTCTGTGGCCATATTCTTAGGGGTTTTTGAGAATCTTTTTTTTTTAAGCTTGAGAAACATAATTTTAGAGGAATTGTCTATGTGTAAACAATTGATATATTAAAAGGGAATGAAAATATTTTAAAAAATAAACACCTACATTTAGTAATCAATCCTTGCTATTCCTCTCTCAGTCTATTTAAATGAATGCCTTTTAGTTTTGTGGTCATACACTTTGCACTTGTTTGAATTTTTTTTTTAAAGGTACTTTCATTTCCACTAATTTTAAATGACTTAACTCTTTCTAAATTATCTTGAATTAGTGAGATTTTGATGTGTTTCCTGTATATAAAATTTGTTGTTGTTAGGTGCTGTTGTGTCTAGTATGACTCATAGCCAATAGATCTGAACCCTGTCCTATCCTGTGCCATTCTCACACTTTCTGACACACAAGAGCCCATTGCAGCAGTCACTGTGTCAAGTCCACCTGGTCGTGGGTCTTTGTCTCCTTTGCCAACCCTCCACTCTTCCTAGCATCATGTCCTTCTCCAAGAAACATCATGTCCTGTCCAAAGCATGTGAGGCAAAGCCTCATCGTCCCTGCTTCCAAAGAGCACTCTGGGTGCACCTTCTGTAAGACATCTGTTCATTCTCTTGGCCATCCATGGGATGCTCTTCGACACCACAGCTCAAAGGCAACAATTCTTTTCCTGTCATCCTTATTCGTTGTCCAGCTCTCAGATGCATAGCAAGTAATTGGGAAGACTTATGGCCTGAATCAGACACATCTTAGTCCTCAAACTGACATCATTACACAATAATTTGGAGAGGTCCCTCACTGCAGATTTTCCAAGTGCAGTGCGTCTCCTTATTTCCTGACTGCAAGTACCATATGTGAAGTATCATTAACTCATTTTTTAAAAAATTCTCCATTTAGGAATCGATTCTGAAGGCCACGCGGCTAACTTCGTAGAAACAGAGCAGATCGTGCACTACGGTGGGAGCAAGGCCTCGTTCGTGCAGGCAAGTCACTGTGATTGGTTGGCTCTGCCCTTTGACTTCAGGCTGATAATGGGGAGGGACAAGCTTCTGGTTTAGGACTGACTCCCCCCTGCCGTAGACTACATCACTGTGAGAGCGAGGCTCTGTTTACTTGCCACCTTCAGACTTGTGGATGGCTGGCTGCTACAGAGCAGGAGTGCTAGACATAGCCATGTGTTTCTAAGTGTTCACTTGAGAATGAATAATAATGCCAAGTTCTCAGGTTTTCCTCATGCCAAATTATATAAGACAGAACTTGGGAGTTTTTACGCATAAAGAAATGGATTGATTTTAGAACTTGGAGAGATACAAAACTGCTTGATAGAAGCGGCATCTTCATAAAATCAGAAAGAAGCAGAGAACATACTTTCCAAATGTGTTCACACAAAGCAGGGACTTCAGAAGCAGATATGCATGTGAACTGTGGTGGTTGTTGATTGCCTTCGAGTTGTTCATAGCGACTCTATGAACGTAAGGCTTGAAGCCCCCTCTACAACCATCAACATTTATCAAAGTTCATAGAGTTTCCAGGGGCGTGTTGTTTCGGAAATTAAGGCACCACATGTGAATTAGTGTAATAATTTTTTTGCTTGACTAAAATCATCGGCCAGTGTATCTTGACACTAAGTAAGTGGAGGAAAACAAGTGTGTGTGTTTCATTTCATAATTCTTTTCTTTTAGACACGAGGATCAATGCCGTTTTTCTGGTCCCAGAGACCAAACCTCAAGTACAAACCACGGCCACAGATCAGCAAAGTAGCAAATCATGTATGTATGTGTCTTCCAGGTTTTCTTACCTTGATTGAAAATAGAAGATTAATGGCCTTACACGTTTCATATGGGACACATAATTGTTCCTAAATGCCATAATACAATGTCTTCGAGACCTCTTTCCTTGGTTCTGGCACATGGGACTCTTGACACAAAAGGTTGCATACATGACATGTCTCAGATGTGGAGGATCGAGCTGTGATGGGATAGTGTAACATGCTCTGTTTAGAGACCTCAGTAAGATTTGCAGCCTCATGAAGATGGTTTTCAGAGTGAAAATGGCAATATTGGAGCTCAGAGTAGAAGGCACAATTACTGTTTACTGCAGATACTTGGAAGGACATAATCCCCCTTCTAACTTCTCTCCTAAAGTATAGAGATATTAACCCTGGAAAGGGTTAAACCGGGTGGCTCCTTGGAGGCAAGGATTCTGAGGCTCCGTCTAACATACTTTGGACATGTTGTGAGGAGAGACCGGTCCTTGGAGAGGGACATCATGCTTGGGAGGGTGGAGGGACGGTGCAGGAGGGGAAGGCCCTCTATGAGGTGGATTGATTCAGTGACTGGGGTAATTGGGATGGGAGTGTCAGAGACAGTGCGATTGGCACAGGACAGAGTGGAGTTTAGGGCTGTTGTACATAGGGTCGCTATGAGTCGCAAGCGACTCGACAGCACATAACAACAAACAAACAACATTGTAAGGAACTGCTTTAACAAAAAAAATCTTACAAATATTTCTTAATGTAATCTAGTAAAGCATACAACTTTTCTTTTCCTCCCTCTTAGCTGGATGGTTTCCAAAGACATTTTGATTCACAAGTGATTATTTATGGAAAGCAGGTGATACTTAATCTGGTACGTTTCTTCCATTTTCTTAAAAACAAAACTGTATCAGCCCAGATCTTTGGAACAAGAGTTTCTCTGGATTGCTGGCTAATAAATTTGTCCTCTTTTTTTTTTTTTTAATAAAAAAACCCAAAACCTGCATCAGAATCCTTTTAAAAATTTTCTTTGGCATAAACTAGAAAGCAGGAAATAGATGTATTTCTTTCTCTGTTCTTTTTCTTTTTTGCAGGTTAACCAGAAGGGCTCAGAGAAGCCACTTGAGCAGACATTTGCATCGATGGTGTCTTCTTTGGGAAGTGGAATGATCAGGTACATCCTGGGAACCAGTTGTGGGTCCTTCAGATTGTAGATGAGTATATCTCACTAGACTTTTCCACTTGCATTCCCCCCCCCCCCCCCAGTAATATTAGGCGGGCTTCGCCTGACTTGAGGGAGCTCTGATGTAGTCCATTGGGAGTTAAGCTACTAAATCTTTCCTGTGCTTAACAGTCTTATCTTATGACTTACTGATTGCTAAGAAAACAGGCGAAAACAGAGTTTGTGGGCATTTTTATGTGTTCATGGCTTTAAGCCTTCATCCCACTAGCCCCCTCCTTGACTTCGAGGACGTGTGAAGATGTGCATGTGCTTCTGCATGGTGTGGGTGGGTTGATAGATGCTTCTCTCTCTCATATGGCACTGAGGTGTTTGCGTGTGGCAGGAAGAGAGGAGAGCCCCCACTGTTCCCGGGTAATACGTCCACTCTCGTGAGAGGAGAGAATCTGCGTCACTGATAGAAGGGAAAGAAATAACCTTAGCTTCTGATTTGTTTTCCATCTGATAGATACATTGCCTTTGACTTCCATAAGGAATGTAAAAATATGAGATGGGATCGGCTCAGCCTTTTACTGGATAAAGTAGCAGAAATGCAAGATGAATTAAGGTAAACAAAATGATTTCCCTGTGAAGGTCTGAGGAAGCTGTTGGGTGTTGATATCAATCAGATTTGTTTTGTATTACCTAGCAGACTTACAGATATAATTCACTGGGCTGACAAGGGCTTGTCTATATTGTACATAATTCAGGGACCAGTTCCTTCAAGCCCTAATTTCTCCTTGATTTGTAACATGGAGATATTACTTTTCTCATAGATTTATTTTAGAAGTTAAAGTGTCCGTATTTTAAAATTCCAGTGGCGTGTCATCACACCCACCCGCACGCACGCGCACTTGCACCTGTTCCCACCATCTCTGAGTAAACCTCACGTAGACTTTGACTCTAAAGATCTCCTAATTCCTAGTCCCGTGGTCATGATTAGTTCTTTTCACCCTTTTATTTATTCTTGTTCAGTGTATTGCATTGCCCTCCTCCTCTTGGATTTTAAAAAATAGTGTCATTAAGATGACTATTACTGTATTCTGCATGTCACATTGGACGTGCTCTGCTAAGCGTTTTCTGTGCATTGTCTCATTCACACCTTAGAACAGTGCCAAGGAAGTGCTCTCCCCCCATGGCTCTGAGGGCTCGATTATATGATTATGTAAAGCTACACAGATAGTACGTTCCCAAGGAGCTCAGGCCAGCGCACAGATCTTTGCTGCCAGAGTCCACGCCCTTACCACCACACTGGCCCAGCACATCGCCGAACCTGGAGGGTCCTCTCAGGAACTTGTCAAGAATGAGTACGGGGAGGGGGAGGGGGAAGAGATTATGCAACAATGAATGATTTCTGTTTTTTAAAAGCAAACTGGGGTGGGGGGAAGGAGGAAAATGTGCAACCATGAATTAATGAAAAATCCAACTTTTCTGTAAGTAGAGAATGAATGCTGCACCCAGAGTGGTAATTCCAGCTGCTTCCAGTGCTTGGTGAAGGAGAGGAAGGGAAGCTGAGTTTTCAGATTACACTCTGTTTTGTTGTTGTTGTTGTTGTTGTTATGTGCCGTCAAGTCGCTTGCAACTCATAGCGACCCTGTGTACAACAGCCCTAAGCCCTGCTCTATCCTGTGCCAATCACATTGCCTCTGACACACCCATCCCGATTACCCCAGTCACTGAATCAATCCACCTCATAGAGGGTCTTCCCCTCCTGCGCTGACCCTCTACTCTACCCAGCATGATGTCCCTCTCCAAAGACCTGTCTCTCCTTACATGTCCAAAGTATGTCAGGCGAAGCCCCAGAATCCTTGCCTCCAAGGAGCAGCCTGGTTAACCCTCTCTAGGATGGATCTGTTTGTTTTCTTGGCAGTCCATGGTACATTCAATACTCTTCTCCAGCACCACAGCTCAAAGGCGTCAATTCTCCTTCTATCCTCCCTAGTCATTGTCCAACTCTCTGATGCATAACAAGTGATTGCAAAGACCATGGCCTATATCAGGCGGACGTTAGTCTCCAGAGAGACACCGTTGCTCTTGAGTACTTTAGGGAGGTCCCTAACATCAGACTTTCCCATCTCAATATGTTTTTTAATTTCCTGGCTTCTGGTGCCAAGAGTGTTGACCATGGAGCCGAGTTTTATACTACTCACGTGTATTAACCATTTAAAAAAAGAATTAAAAATAGGTTTCGTGAGCAGTATCCCAGCTCTTGCCTTAAAGAGAGTCGAGTAGACCTCAAGACCAGGAGTCGTTCTTTTTAGCAAGCACCCCTGGGAATTCTGCCATAGATAACCCAGCTGGGTAGGAGCTAGGCTTTGGGGACCACGCCGTGCAGGTGAGTCGCTGAGGAGTTGTGGATGGCAAGCCTCTGTGGCCTTGGGGAAACCTGACAGATCCACACGGAAACCTTTGCCGTACTCCCAGCCAGTGCTCTGTCTTGGTCTCGTGTGTACGCAGCGGCCTGTACTGTTAGAGCTGTTTTTTTGGGTGGCGGGTTGTCTTGCCTCATTCAAACTCATAGACTCAGACCTGCAGTAGTCAAGTGTACCTGGACCACACATTCCTGCCTGATCTTTGAATTTGCAGGTTCTAATCCTGTCTCTTGCTGAGAGGTGAGTACTTACTGGATGTGACTGACTTTGGTATGAGAGTGTTTATACAAATGTGTTTTAGTTATTTTCTAGTGGACGCTGCTGGCAAGGTGGTGGCAAACCAGGAAGGTGTGTTCCGCAGCAACTGCATGGATTGCCTGGACAGGACCAACGTGATCCAGAGTCTGCTGGCTCGCCGCTCGCTGCAGGCCCAGCTGCAGGTGCACAGCCGCTTTTCCTGTTATTAAAGACAGTAGAGTGACGGGATGGAAGACGTGTCATCTTTAGAAACCAGTTACAGGAAACATGCATATTGCTTTCACTCTTGCCCTCGCTTTTGGCTTTGTGTGTTAATGATCCATGGTCAGGCTTAGAAGTGGGGTCAGTATAGAAATAGACAGTTTTTTCATTATGTCCTTGTCTTCTGCATTGTGCATGTTGTTGTTGTTGTTGTTGTGTACTGTGGAGTAGGACTCGACACCATCGCTGACGCTTCGGCGGGTTTTCAGAGGCAGTTAATTGCACTGGAGGAGACTGCCCATTCTTCTCCCACAGAACAGCTGGTGGCCTTGAACTGCGTGCCTTCAGGAGTGCAGCACAGCTTCTTGCCACTAGGCCATCAGAGCTCCCTAGCATTATGCATAGTAATAGTTTTTAATGGCTTCCTTATTACACTATAACTTACTAGCATAACAAGCTCTTTAAGTTGCTCCATTTTTGGCTTATAAACAATACTGTAGAGAATGCATCTGTTATTATTAAGTTGAATTATTTCCTTTGGGTTAATTCCCAGAAGTGGAATTACTGTGTTAAAGAAAAAAAATATAATGCTTTCCAATGAGGTTATACGAATTTATATCAATATTGGCAATGAATAAGGGAATTCATTTCACTGAACTTTGGCCAGCACTGGCCATTTCTATTTCACTTTTCTCTCATTCTTTTTAGGTAGTGCATAGTCATATTACCTCAAGGTGGTATGTATGTATGTATGTATGTATGTATGTATGTATGTATGTATGTATGTATGTATTTATTTTTAATGTCTTATTACAGGGAAGAATTCCTTGCACTCAGATAAGAAGGGTTTGACAGCTTGGTTTTACCGCTAAGATTGTGCTATTTGGAAAAAGAAATAGAACTATTATCTTTATATTTGGAATTAAAAATATGTAGAGCCCACATTTCCATATCACATTAGTATTTGTTGTGAGTGGGGGAAAAAAGTATTCCAAACGATTTCTTGCCTAGATAATTGGTAAGCATTCGCCTTTATTTGTGATGATGATTTTATACCCAGGTAGGAACTATGGTGAAATGTTCAGAATGAATTGCTCTTGAACCTTAATGTAAAGTGTACTCTGATACCTCAGGATTTGTTTGTTTGAATGTTCTCTGTTTTGATTAGTCTACCGACCGGGTGGTCATTGATGTGTTGGGTAGACTTCAGAGTATTTATATTTCAATAGAAACAATGTTCGGAATGGTTTGGTTGCAGTCAGATTAACAGAATCTATTTAACAAGGTTCTAGAACCTCTGTTTCATTCTTTCACGTGTTAGTTATGTCAGCATGTGGGAGCTCTGCTTCTCTGTCCAGGGAGGGCGATTTCCCCAGTTCCAGTCACAGAGTTGGCTCCAGTGCGTGTGCCTGAGGGTGGGGATGAGGACTCATTCTGAGAAACTATGTCCGTGGTGAACAGTGAAGATGATGGTTTTGAGAGTGGAAGATCCGAGGTCCTGACGGTACTGGCTGAAGACAGGTCCACAGAGCAGCTTTGGACAGTCCCTAACCTCTCGGAGATTATCTGTTTGGAATATGTGTTATGATTCTGTTGGGAGGAGATACGGAGCATCCCTCAAATTGTCAGGGGGAATCTGGAGATGATGAGAGTGTGGAGGAGTAATGAGAATAGCAGGGACAGAGGCGGTACAGAGCGGGGTGACAGGAGGGAAGGACACCGGAAGTGGTGGGCAGATTTTATAGCAACTGACAATGCCCATCTCCCTGCAAACCGATAGTACTGAGGTGGGGGGTTCAAAAGAGACTGGGGAGCTGCTGAGAAAGAAGCCTTCAGGAAAGGTTGGCACTCGCTCTGAGCAAAGAGGCTGCTGTCCACACTCATCTCACCTCCTCCCGCCCCCCGTCTATGTAAGGACCACACCTCAGGCGTGCAGCCGTGGTTTCTGGACTGTTTGCTTTTTCTTCTGAAGTCACGGGTGCAGAAAACCGTCACACTTAAGTGTGGGTGTGTTTTTTATTCCAGAGACTGGGAGTTTTGCATGTGGGACAAAAGCTTGAAGAACAAGATGAATTTGAGAAGATTTACAAAAATGGTAGGTAATTTCTTTGCTAGAGGTAAAGCTACTTCAGTTTTGAAATAAATTAACATTCTGGAGCTAGGATCCTGCTTGTCCTGCAGATAATTTTTAGTGGTTTTTCCTTTTTTTTTTCTTTCTATCTTTTCACAGCATGGGCTGATAATGCAAACGCCTGTGCCAAACAGTATGCAGGAACTGGTGCCTTGAAGACTGACTTTACCAGGCAAGTCACACTTTGAAAACTGCATTCCAGAGCGTGACTTCACGGCCATGGTGCATCAGGGAGTCAGTTGAATAGCTTTCTTACAACAGCAGCAAAACACCAGCATCTGGGTTGGGAGGCCAGGTGCTGGTGATTCCCAGGAACAAGGAGACTGGGCTCTTTGGTGCTTCTGGAACCTGCTGGGTCCTGTATAGACAGAGGGGCTTGTTGAAATGTAGATTCAGCAGGTCTGGGGCAGGGCCTGAGACTCTGAAAATCTAATCAGCTCTGAGCAGCAATCCTACTACTTGGAACCTAGCCTGAAGAAGTGAGAGCTGCCACCCCCGCTGGTCTGTGCGCACCCATGTTCAGAGCAGCAATACTTACAATAGCAAAGAGACAGAAACATCTCAGGTGTCCTCCAATAGGCAAATAAGAAACTGGAGTACATTTACACAAGAGTATTACACAGCACTGAAAAGGGACCACAGATTAATGAAATACTGTGTAACCTTTATAAATCTATACAAAATTATGGTCCATCAACAGATGAATGGAAAGAAAAACTATGGTACATCCACACAATGGAATATTATACAGCACTGAAAAACAATGAACGTGTAAAACATTACACACCCTGGGGGAGCCTGGGAGACATTATGCTGAGTGAAGTATCTCAGTCACAAAAGGACATACTACATAGCACCACTGTTATCAAATAGGATTGACATGGGGGGGTTGGGAAGAGAATAGGAAAAAAATAGATAATATGAATAGATAATAAATACTGCTTTAGAACAGATGACAGAAAAAACTATCTGAAAGGAATATATGATTAGTCATTATATGTATGACAGCAGTCTGGAATAAGAGATGTGTTTCAAAGTGTGCTGGGAGAGGGGGAAGGGAGAGAGAAGGAAGAAAATGTGCAGCAGTGAATGAATAAGAAAAAAGAAAAGAAATTATGCTGAGTGACATAGATTTGTCACAAAAGGACAAATACTGCATGGGCCCTATTATGGAAAAGCTAAGCTTTGTGTGTTTATACACAAAGAGCATCATTCTTAGACAGTTATCAGGCATAAGAAGGGAGAAGGGAAAGGGGAGTAGAAGTAGACAATAGAGACAAGATAAAATATGTGTGAATGATTGAAAAACCAGTGTGATTTGTAAATTTTCATTCGAATCAAGAAAAGAAAAAATATTTTTAAAAAAGATAACTGGAGGAACACACCCCAAAACACTCAGGTGATGTTGGTCCCGCGTACATTCCCACACTGGTCCACAAGGAGCTGGGATGCTTTGGCCGACTCTAAGGTTAGATGTCTTTGTCTGCCGTATGGATTCCCCAAGGGAAAAAGCAGATATTTAGTTGTTTGATTTTTGGCAATACGTAGCCCGTGACTGGGGCTATTCTTTCCCAGTTTCTTATCTTTACAACTAGAACTGGATGTTTCCCCCTTTGTGGCCTTTGGCACTGTTTTTAAAAGAGAATTTTTGTGGGGTTGTTTTTTTATCTGATAAAGGTTTCTTTAAAGTTTCTGAACACATTTTCAGGGATGACTTTTAAAATCTCTAACCGAGTTATGCTTGAATCATAACTTGTCGGTCAGTACACTGTGAGAAATTAGCGTGTAAATCCATAGCTTAGAAATGAACCTCTTTCATTCACCAGAACCGGGAAGAGAACTCAGCTGGGACTCATAATGGACGGCTGGAACTCACTAATACGATATTACAAGAACAACTTTTCCGATGGATTTAGACAGGTGAGTTTGTGCCTGACGCCTTTTTGGTCATGAGGTGGTTGAACCTTTGCATGGTTCCTCAGTAATAATGGAATTTCCTTCTCTGTTCCAGGATTCCATCGATTTGTTCCTTGGGAACTACTCAGTGGATGAAGTAGAAGCACATAGTCCTTTGAGTGTTCCAAAGGATTGGAAATTCCTGGCTGTAAGAAACCCTCACGTTTCTCAGGCTGTTGAAAAAGCCATGTGTATGAGGGTGGTACCACAGATGATGTCAGCGCTCACTGATTTACGACATGTTGTTTGTTTTAAATGGATCATAAACACTTAGAATTCCTCAAGGCAGAGGAAATAGAAGCATAAATAACTGTAGTGCGTTTGTTTCTTCCTCACTTCCTCTCATCCTTTTTGTGTGTGTGTGTGTATGAGAGACACAAAGCAGAGGAAAAGTGGAAGGTTTCTTGTTTCAGGAAGCCTTCGGTCCCCAGGATGTCAGTGTTTGCTGGAGGCACAACTGTAACATGTCAGACAAAGTGTGCTTTTTTTTTTTCAATTTCTTTATTTTTCATTTCAATGAACATCTACCGAGATTTTGGAATTCCATTCATTCATTGTTGCACCCCTCTCCTCGCCCCCCCCCCCTCCACCCCCGTTTGCTCCTCTCCTTCAAACACAAAAGAAAAACTCCCTCATTGGTACGCAATCCCCCCCACAAAGTGTGCTTTTGACACGTCTCTCCGCATCATCTCCGCTGGTCACTAGACGTTCCGAGGCCCAGTGCCTGGAGTAGGAGGAGAGGGCCTGCTGTCTGTTCTCTGGGCAGCCAGCCACCTCCCACTGAGAGCTCCATGGTTTGGAGCAGACGGCATGATTCCTGGAACCCACCAGCAGACACAAGTAACTGTGACTGAGCCTCTAGATAAGGGCGCTTTGTTAGTGGTTGGATGCCATCAGATGGGCTTGAGTGATGGTGACCGCTGATGAGGAACTGGACGGAATGTTGCCAAGTCCTGTGCCATCCTCATAATCTTGCCGTGTTTGAGCCCAGTGTTGCAGCCAAGATATTATGTAAATAAGATTGCAAAGAGTTTTAACTTTTTCACCCCGAGCATGTGCGCCTGATTTTATAGTCGTGGATTAGCATTCTTAAACAGTGGTTTCTCTTTTCCCGTCTTCTCTTCCAGTTGCCTATCATCATGGTGGTTGCCTTTTCAATGTGCATTATCTGTTTGCTGATGGCTGGTGAGTCTGCTTTTATTTCACCTTCTTAACATGTAGCCTTGTGGCAAGAAGCTTTGTTGCAATCCTGAAGGCACGTGGTTTGAGGCTACCAGCTGCTCCATGGGCTGGGCAGTCTCCTCCTGTGCGATTAACTGCCTCTGAAAACCCGCAGGAGGGTCAGCTATGGGTCGATTCCGACTCTACGGTACTCAACAAACACATGTATTTCTTAGGTCGAACATTGAAATTTAAAAAAAAAATAATTTTACTATTTTTGTGTGTGTACCATCAAATTGGATCTGACTGGTTACAGGAGGAGATTGTCCCTCCTTCTCCAGCAGAGCATCTGGTGGATTTGAACCGCTCACCTCTGGGATGAATGTTGAACTTTCTTACATGACATCTTGAGTTTTATAGTTCATTCAACACTTAATGTTCTCTGTCATTACTAAAGTGAGGAGAGGAGATTGATAGGGGGAAAAAATACACCCAGGAGTTTGTGAAGTGCTGCTTCCTCTTACTGGAGATATTTCTGAAAAAGCTTTTTGTTGTCATTGCGAAAATACAGAGTAATTATTAAAAATCCACCAACCCCCCCCCCAAAAAAAATAACAACAACAACAAAAATATCCACCAAACCCAATGGCCATCAAGTCAATTCCAACTCATCATTGCCCCACAGAACAATCTAGAACCACCCCATAGGGTTCCCAAGGCCGTGAACTCAATGGGGACAGATCATCTCATCGTTGTCTTGGGGAGCAATTGGTGACTTAGGACCACACACCATTTGGTTTGTCAGATGCTTTAATTACTGCACCCCAGAGCCTTGTATAGAAAAAAGTGAGGCAAGAATACTAATACCACTGCTGGTAAATATATTCACCATCCTGTCTTCCAGAAATAGAGCTAAGCATACCTAGTAGTTTGATGTGTTAATCTTTCTAAGTGAGTGTGTTTTTTGGGTGTGTGTGTGTGTGTGTGTGTGTGTGTGTGTGTGTATGTATGTACACACACTTTTTATCATTGTTCTTTCACTGAAGCATATAATTTCCCATGTAATTACATATTCTTCTACATTTTTAAGAACTATGTAGTATACCGTACAAGGACATAGTATACCATAGAAGGAAAATTGATGCCTTTGAGCTGTGGTGCTGGAGAAGAGTATTGAGAGTACCATGGACTGCTAGGAAAACAAACAGATTCATCCTGGAGAGGGTTAAACCAGGCTGCTCCTTGGAGGCAAGGATTCTGAGGCTTCATCTAACATACTTTAGACATGTTGTAAGGAGGGACCGGTCCTTGGAGAGGGACATCATGCTTGGTAGGGTAGAGGGACAGCGCAGGAGGGGAAGGCCCTCTATGAGGTAGATTGATTCAGTGACTACGGTAATCGGGATGGGTGTATCGGAGATGGTGCGATTTGCACAGGACAGATCAGAGTTTAGGGCTGTTGTACATAGAGTCGCTATGAGTCACAAGCGACTTGACGGCACATAACAACAGCATAGTATACCGTTTGTTTAGTTACTTAAACACCAACTATGGGGACAAATAAATGACATGAATAGGTTGAACCATCACTTTCCCTTAACTTTTAATAGATTAAGTATAAAATTGACCAGAACCTGAGCTGACGAGGACTGCACAGCAGAGGAAAGTGGATTCATTCCTTGTTTGCACGATGAGGCTAGGGACAGGGTCCAGGATCGTTCATGCCATACTCTATTAAGTGCCCACGATTTGTCAGGGACTGACTGCATAAGGGACTATGTGAGTGCTGAGTCCCTAGAATAAGACGTAGAACTTGCCCTCAAGGATCTTAAAATGAAAAGGGGAGCTGGAAAGCAAGGCAGTCATGGTAACAGTTAGCATCGTTTCTTTGGGTGAGGAAGAGCTCTGGAGACTGGGGCAGGTGGCCAATGAGGAGGCGAGGTGCCTGGGCTTTCCAGGAAGTGAGATGAGGAAGTGGGAGCTGGGGTCAGGAGTGATGAGAAAGGGGTGGAGATGGGCCTCACAGATGAAGACCTCTCTTTCTTTTGCTCAGGGAAGAACCTTAAAACTTAGAGCTATGAAAATAGCCACTGGTAAATTCAGATGATAATAAGTAAAATGAGATTAGAGGGTGGTCTTCTGTGGCTGGTAACATCTTTTTCAGTTAACTGTTGTGAAAGAATGAACTCTGAGACTTCTGGGCATGATGCTGTCTGGCTTCTTGCCCCTGTTGTGCTTTGTTTAAAGAGCCCGGTGGTTTAGTGGGTAAGGAGTTGCGCTGCCAGCCCAACAGCGGTGGGTTCAAATCCACCATTTGCTCTGAGGAACAAAGTGGGCAGTCTCCCATGCAGTTTACAGCCTCAGAAAACCCTCCGGAGGGTCGGCTGTGAGTCAGTTCCTACTTCACGACAATGAGTTTGGGTGTTTGGGGTCTTTTCCTCAGTTCTGGTTTTTAAGAACCTTAGCAGTGCAGTGACAAAGCACCCAGTTGCTACCTGAAAGGTCAATGGTTTGAACTCACCAGCTGCTCCACAAAAGAGCAGTGGGGTCACCTCCTTCCGTAAAGCCCACCGCCTTCATGGAAACACGCAGAGCAGCTCTGCTGTCCTGCAGGCTTGCCAAGAGGATGGGCTGGTGACAGGGAGTTTGCGTTGGTTTTGATTGTGGTTTTTAAGGGAGAGGAAAGCGAGAGCACAGAGGCCTCTCCAGCTCACGAGGAGGGTCCAGACCCCTGGCTTTCTTCCCCTGGCGCCCCTCTCGGTTGTATTTCTCCGTCTGCAGATGAGGGCCTGGGAGAAGTGACGCTGGGCTCTCCTCAAGGAGGGAAAACTGGCCCGCGGCCAACCTTCCTGAACCCCAGGCTTCGAAAAATGCCTCTCAGCAGAGTGCTGTTGACTTCATCACTGAATATCTGATGCAGTTTTGTTGTAGATATTTGCTTATGATCTGTAAGTTTTCTGAGGCCTGCACATTTAGGGAAGTGTCTTTTGTGGAAGTATTTTGATGTTGTCAGGGGCCATGCAGGTGACTACACCTCACAGCAGTTCTCTGAAGAAGGGATCTGAGCCTTGCCCTGTGCTGTGCCCCCTCATCGTCTCATATACTCGAGTCCATTACCGCAGTCATGCTGTCAGTCCATCCTGCCCAGGGTCTCCCCTCCTTTGCTGACTCTCCACCTTTCCAAGCATGATGCCTTCTTCCAAGGACTGGCCCTTCCAACCACATACCAAAGCCATTTCCGAATAGACGTGCACCTTCCGCTGCTGTTAATAGTTTCTTACAATAGTCTGTATTCTGAAAGGATCATTATTATTTGTGAGAGAGGAAACCCTTTAGGACAGTGGTGCTCATCGCGAGGCCCTGGACCAGTCTCAGCAGCATCACCTACGAACTTATTAGAAAAGCTAACACATTCCCGAGGTATGTGGTTCGAATCCACCAGATGCTCTACTGGGAAAGGAGGACAGTCTCCTGTACCAGTCAGACAAAATTTGACAGTACACACAAAAAAGAAAAATTTCTAAAAGAAAAGCTAACACTTATTAAAAATAACTTTTTTTCCAAAGAAAAAAGTGAACTGAGGGGAAGGGGGGACAGGGAAGAAAATGTGCAACGATGAATGAATGGAAATCTAAGTTCTTTATAAACTTTCATTAAAATCTAAAAAAAGAACAGCTAACACTTGGATCTCACTCAGGCTGTTCAGAGACTCGAGGCAGACCTAGTGTCTGCCCTGTACCAGTGTCCTGTCCTCTCTGGGCCTCTCAAGTGAATCAGAGTTGAGAGAGCTGGTTAAAACTTCAATTAAGTTGGTTTTTGTGCTATTTAAAAAATATTCCTAGTAAGCTTGAATCTTATCAAGATATGCTTGATAGCAGGTCCTTTCCTCGTCTACCCGTTTTCCCCCCACAGGTGATACGTGGACAGAAACGCTGGCCTATGTGCTCTTCTGGGCTGTCGCAAGCATGGGAACATTCTTCATCATCCTCTACAATGGCAAGGATTTTGTTGATGCCCCCAGACTGGTCCAGAAAGAAAAGATAGACTGAATTTGTGTCTGTGGAAAGCGGCTCGGCGTGGAAGACTCCATCATGCAGAACTGGAGTCTTTACTGACCTGCTTTCCACATCGGCCGGGGGTCTGCTGGACACCTTTGTCAGAAAGCAGATCTGTGCGCTGCACAACGGTGACGACTTAGGATTGATCTCGCGTTCCTGCCTTGGGGACCTCTCTGCTGCTGGGATGGTTCTTAGAATTTGGAACTGTTCTAAAATTAAAGTGTCATTTGAATTCAGCTCCCCAGGATGCAAGAAATCTCTTCACTGGCAATCTAATCAGCTCCTGCAGAATAAGTAATGTACATATTTAGGAGAGAAAAAAAACCAACCTAGCTTCTTTCGTTATTTAAAACAGTAAATTTATTTTTCTAGCTCCATTTCATTACTGTCATTGTAGACACAGTCACAGTTATCAAGCATACTTTCCCACACGTCTTTGAACTTTTCTCAAAAGTTGAACAGTAAGCTAACTCTGCTGACTGAAGTGTGTGATGTGTAAGCCTTTAGGACCAGGAAGAATGATGTGTGTTCTTGGCAAGTTTCTGTTGGGTTGTCTTCTGAGCTCACTCAGATTGAACTGTTGGGTTTGAACCAGCAGTTTGAAGTGTGATGACAAAGCTCAACTTTCCTTATCTTTTTTTAAAAGGTATAAATGAAATCAAAGAATGTAAAGTTCATCTCTGATGCTAACGGTCCAAAGCCTCTCCTGTGCGTGAAGCGTGGCCCCCACTGGGGCCACTACCCACAGGCGGTCAGCTCCGTGCTCCCGTGCATCCCGGGGGCCACGGGCCGGCACATGCAGGCCTCCCCGCGGGGCTCGTGCTGGAGCTGACGCTGCACGGGGGCCCTCAGCTGCTTCTCCACGCATGGTACTGTCAGTGCTTCCCACTCTCTAAAGGTGTCGTCAATAAATGTGTATCGATTCAGTGCTTCTGAGTAGTTCTCGTTTTCCTCATCAAGGACCAACCCAAACTTCAATAACTTATGTGCAGAAATAAGCCTGAAAATATGCATTAGAAGCTGCACAGAATTCTAATTGCAAGTTGGATTTGTATATGCAAATTGTTAATTATGAGGTATAAATAAGGTTTAAATATTTGACAAGGTATGTGAGGTAGTGTAACTGCCAATATTTTGACGCAATTCATTTTGATTCCACGACGTCAGAGTTGGGCGTGAAGGTAGGACAGTGTTTACCGACAGTAATACCTTACGTTGTCCTGAAATGTTTCTCCAAGCACCTTTGTCTCAGCATTGCCTTTTGCCATTATCTTTTATGAAAGTTACGAAGAGTTGTTGCTTTTAGAAACTCTAAAGGAAATAGTAACTGGGGCCTCTTGTGTAGCTTAAAATCAGTCACCAAAACTCATACTAGGTAAGAGAGTTAGAGCTACCTGTTCTTAATATGTAAATAAGTATAATTTGTTCCAAAGATAAATGGAAACTTAGTTCCTGTCTATTGTGATATATCATCCAGATGCTACTGGGCAATTCCCATTAAGAAGTTGCTTCAACAGCAAGACCAAATCCGAACGGCTGCCATGGCTGCCTTGCGATGAATGGACTAACGTCTGTGTGTTAGAGCTTAGGGTGTCGATGTTTCACAGCCCTGCAATGATTTTGTTTCCAAATTCATGTACTGTACCTCCACAAGTGAAAATAAAATGTCATATTCTTTTCTAACGACTGCTGGCATGGCTCCTCTATTTTGTCTTGAAAAATGAAGCTCCTTTTAAAAGTCTTACACTGAAAAGGATGCAGAGTAAATGCATGGTCACTACAGAAAAGTTAGTACAAAACCCCTATGAACAAGGATAGTTATAGTATTAAAGGTAAACCCCAGATTGGAGGTCAATAAAAATGAGGTAAAACATCCTTGAATAGTTAGAAAACTAGAAATTACGAAAAGTGAAATGTTGTTTGCCCATTTTGTTATTGGCTTATCAGTTTTTTTTTTTCTTGTGTCTGTAAACTTTAGTTATGACATCCTTTGGGAAAAAGAATAGTACAGGTAAGTAAACAAATGGCCTCTGACTTCCTATTTGACATTTAAAAATCTTGTAAGAATGTTGTACATATTTGTAATGATTTTTATGGGTAAAACTAGGGGAGTATCTAGTAAAAGTATAACATCTATAAAAAGGTGTTTCCCCTCCTTTCCATTTTATCAATTTTTAAAAAAATTATTTAGATTGGTGTTTGGAAAAAAAAAGAAGAAAAAAAATTATTTAGATTGTTTTCCACATAGACACACCCCACCCCTGCTGAGAAGCCCAGGCAGATGGATGGGGGCAGGGATGTCTCCTTCCTGATGCCAAACACACCTCCTTCCTGGCTTCAGCCTCATTCTTCATCTGGACGGAGCCATCACTGTGATGTCACTGGGAAGGACCAGTTAGAAATGGTGCCCTCTTTACGATAATCAGTGCCCTGGTCCCAGGTGATCTCTTTATTCTGCCACTTCTTTTTATGGATTCTGAAAATGATTTTGTTTTTACCAGAAACCTGAGTGTTCATCTATTGACGTTTTCCATTTCTGGTCTTGGGTCCTGGACCCAAACCTGTTGCTGTCCCATCACTTTCACCTTGTGAGATTAGTACTACCCCACAGGGTTTCTGAGGCTGGAAATGCCTCTCATAGCAGACAGCCTCATCTTTCTCCTGTGAAGCAGTGGGTGGGTTTCAACTGCCCACCTTGAGGTTAGCAGCCAAGTGACTAAACTGCTGCACCACCAGGGCGTCTTTCTTAGTCTAGCTCCACAAGACTAAAGTATCCACTTGTTTTTGTTGTTGATTCCCTTGAGTAGAGCATGACTCATAGCGACCCTATGAACAAAAGGTCTGAGGTGTGTTATATTCTCTGTCCTAAATTAAGCTCCTAGGGTGGTGGGTTCACGTATAGACTCTGGCGGTACAATAAGGGCAGACTGTGAGTCATGTTTAGGAGGATTTAAGATGTTCTCTTTCCTCTCTGAGCTTTGGAACCATACAGTCCCCTGGATTTTATTCCACTTCATACGTGGCTCCATGGTGCAGGACAGGGCAAGGTACAGATCTTTCGTTCATAGGATCTCTGCGAGTCATAGCTGATTGGATGGCCCTCCAAATGACGTCTAGTCTCAGCATCTTCCTGGAAGTTATTCTATAAAGTGACTTCACAGTGCTTACCCAGTACTTCCATCCAGGTTACAGAGGGCTCTCGTCTAACAATGTTGAACCAAGTCCTTGATTTATACTCCACACTGACTCCAAGCTTGGTTCCACAGTCAATGCTCATGGCACCAGCAGTCAGGAAGTCAAAAGACATATTGCATTGGGGAAGTCTGCTGCTGTCAGGGACCTTTCCAAAGCACTAAAAAGCAATGATGTCAATCTAGAGACTAAGGTGTGCCTGATTCATTCAGGTCGTGGTCTTTGCAATTACTTGCTATGCATCTGGAAGCTGGACGGTTAATAAGGATGGCAGAAAAATCAATGCCTTTGAGTTGTGGTGCTGGAGAAGAGTCTTGAACATACCATGGACCACCAGGAGAACAAATAGGTCTGTTTCAGAGAGGGTGAAATTAATCTTGGAGGTCAGGATTTTGAAGGTCCATCTCACATACTTTGGACACATGGCCAGGAGAGACTAGTCCTTGGAGAGGGACTTCATGCTTGGAAAGGTGGAGGGACAGCACAGGAGAAGAAGACCCAGGATGAGATGGATTGGGTAACTGGGACAGTGGAAGTAGGTGTGTTGGCGTCAGTGAAGCTGGCCCAGAACAGGGCGGGGGCTACTTGACAGCACACAACGACAGCAACTGCTGTTTTCATTGGCATGACAGAAAATGCCTCCAGCGGAGAGCTGGCCACCAGGTCGAGAATGCTCCCTGCTCTCCTTCCTTCAGTCCTGCATTCTATCTACCAAGCCTTGGCAACTCTCCCTCTGAAGCAACGCAAAATCCTCTCCACACCCATTTCCACATCCGTCTCTTCTGTGGATTTATTAAAGTAGTTCCTGGAGAGAACTTTTCCAGCTTCCACTCCTTCTCCCCTCTTCTTTCTCCACAGCAGTCAGTGGTCTTTCAAGTGTAGATCACATCATGCCAGCCCCCACACTGAATCCTGGGGTCTAAACTCCTCGCTGTAATGTCTTCTGTCACTTGGTTCCTGCCCACTCCTCTACCCACCCTTCATCCCATTCCAACAGAGACTTCCTTTCTGTCCTTTTCCACCTCGGAGCCTTTGCACTTGCTGCCACTCCTGCCTAGACAGACCTTCCAGGAATCCCATGACTAGTTCATTCGTCAGATATCAGTTCACGAAGCATTTTGACTGTACACAATAGTGATCCTCTTAGGCCGACACACTGGCCTATTTCTTCTCTGTGATCATCTATTTGTGATCTGTTATTGTCTCTCTCCTTTTCCAGAAGGGAGCTCTGGTGGCTTAGTGGTAATGATCTGTACTGCCCACCTTAAGGCACATGGTTCAAATCTACCAGCTTCCCCTCAAAAAATATGAACACCCTCCTGTGTAATTTAATGCCTCTGAAAATCTACTGAAGTGTCAGCTATGGGTCGGTTCTGACTCCATGGTACATAACAACAACCACCTCTTCCAGAATGTAATACTACAAAAGCCAAGGACCAGGAAGCTCGTGGTCTAGTGGCAAAAAGCTGTGCTGCAATCCTGAAGGCGCGCGGTTTGAATCCACCAGATGGTCTGCTGGAGAAAGAGGGTAAATCTGTGCCAGTCGGATTCGACTTGACAGTACTCACCAGGTAGGGGGGAAAACCAAAAAACAACCCCCCCCCCAAAGCCAAGGACCATATTCTTCCGGTCATTATCCCTAGTGCCCACCCAGGGCTGATTTATAACACAGCTTGAGGGACTCCAAGGAAAGATGGCTATTATGCAAGCTGGCAATAGTCAGATGGGTAAAGTGATTGATATGCCAGAGACTGATCATATCCTGTCTTAAGTTCAGCAAATTAGAAATGTTATGGGCTACCAAGCTGGCCATGACTCATAGTGACCCTGTGAACAGTGCCTCTGAACCTTGCCCTGTCTTGAGCCAAACTCACTATTTCTGGCTCACCTGACCCTATTGTGACAGTCACTGTGTCAATCCATCTCATCCATGGTCTTCCTCTTGTGTGCTGACTTTTCAAGCATGATGTTCTCTAAGGACTGGTCCCTCTGGCAACGTGGCCAAAGTATGTGAGATGTAAAGTCAAAATCCTTGCCTCCGAGGAGCAAACTGGTTTCACCCTCTCTAGGATGAATCTGTTCTCTTGGCAGTCCATGGTACAGCCAATACTCTTCTCCAGCACCACAACTCAAAGGCATCGATTCTTCTGCCATCCTTAGTCATTGTCCAGCTCTCAGATACCTAGGAAGCAACTGAGAAGACCATGGCCTGGATCAGGCACACCTTGTCTCTTATTGGACAGAAATATTTCCCCCTTAATTTTTCTTCTGGAATCCGACCCACATGAAGCCCATCTTTATGAGCTTTCTTGTGAGATATTTTTTCTCAGTCTGTATTGGTGTGGTTTCTATAGTTCTATGAGGAGGGAAACAGAAAGATGATAAAAAAAGGAGACTAGATAGGTCCACTCCTTTATTTTACACTTTCCCCCAACTTATGTATGTATATATGTCTACATACTTAATGAGAGGAAGTAATGGGTTCAGGAGAGCGCTTAAGTAGTAAATGATAAAAACAAAGACAAAAATCAATGTTTACATTTATTTAAGGCTTTATTTCTGTTGACAGTCATTTAAAAAACATATAACTGTTCCACTTGACTTCTTAGCACTAAACCAAAGACCTTTAAGTCTCCAGAATAAATAAAAAGCTTTCTAGAACCCACCTCTGGCCATATCTGGCGACTCTTAGAAGACATTTCCGTCTGAAGCACTTTACTCAATAGTGGTACTTCTGTCTGACTTTAGGGAGCAAAGGTTGTTTTATAGAAAGACTTTTATGTTCAATGGAAATGCTAATAAATGCTTTTTGATATAAATTTTCCTAGTACCCCACTTTGGATTCGTGCTCAGCTCAACGGCACCCAACAACAATAACCAGCCTTTTCCTTTCTTCATTGGGACACTGGTTTTGGCCACATACCAGAATCACCCAGGGAGATTAGCACTGACTGAGGCCTGGATCTCCCTCCACCCCAGAGAGGCTGATGGACTGATGTGGGGGCAAGACCAGTGTACTCGGTGCTAAATGCTCCAGGTGATTCTAAAGGTCATTCACGGTGCAGGGGAAGAACTATGATGTAAGTAATGATTTAGGATGCAAACACCTTTCCCAAGGGCTATTAATAGAGTCAAACTTACTTTAGCCGTGGCTGATGGAGTGAAATCTGAACAGACACTGAATGTTTAAAATTCGAGTCAAGTGGAAACATACATAACAGGAATGGGGAAAATGATGGTTGAAATCTTGGAATAGGAGACTTGGGAAAGGCACAGTGAATCTTTTCAGGATCTTGATGCGACATATTAGATTGTTGCCAATACTGTAGAGATCAACACATTTAAAGCAGCCTTTTTTTTTTTTTGAGTAGGGCACTGTTGTTTCTGACTCTGCTGTTGAAGATATTCAGTTGCTATGCAATGAACACACTGCCATTGGGTTTTTGTGGTTTTTTCTTAATTGGAAGATTGCATTTCAAGTAGAGTATCAATCTGTAATTTTTCACCTATCAGCTATTGTTTAGCACCTCCACATTTCACAGATCCATGTCTCTTTTTGCTGTATCAGGAATGACTGAACCTGAAGGAACCAGGTCCAAGTCCTGATGGTTTCATTCCTCAGGATACCTGGTATTTAGGACTTTACCTACTGTGACTGAAATCTGATTGGGAGACAGACCCTCTACTGTACATTTTGTTGGGTTTTTTCATTATGTCCATTCTTCAAACATGATAGTGAAAGCTTTTTTACAATAAAGAGCCATCTGATGAGAAATTATAGGATTGAAGATTTGCCATAAATAAATGCTGGTTCATACATTTTAAGTGCACGTGATCTTTCTATAATGATATCAGGTGAAGCTGTGAGTATAAGTTGGAACTTAAGGAAGCAGAAGCCCTTCCCAATGCCTATTTTTACTGTTGAGAAATCGGTAGCGTGAAAGAGAAGTTAAACACATCTGTAGTTCAATCTCTCTCAAATGACTCAAAGGAGTATTCTGCAATTCCATGATTGAAATGAAACACAGACTATTTAAAGCCGGAAAAGACCCTCTTACATTAAGGGTGACCTTGACCTACCTTATTGAAGTTTTAAAAAAAGATGATTTTCAAGGTGGGCTAATGCTACATCATAAATAATATACGGTGTTTGGTGACAAGATGCTCTGTTTGAATTATATACATTTTAGAAAACTTCCTTATGCATAGAGAAATAATTTAAAGTTGATTATAGGTGATGTCTGTGGTCTTTCCTATAAAGAGTTGGCCATAATGTTAAAATATAACAGCAAGTTGATGAGAAAGTTAGATTCCTCTTCATTCTCACAGTGGCTTCTGGCTCTTTGCCTATTCACTAAAACATCCTCCACCAGGTCCTTCCACACAGGCTCTTCACATCACCAGGCCCGAGGAAGATTGGGGTACACAGTGCAATGGGGGCCGTTTTGGTAGAGAAGCCTGACCTTGGTTCCTCTGTGAGACCTCCGCTTAGAGAAAGGGGATCCCCCTTTGTGGGCCACGTTTCTTTATAGCTAATCATATTAGTATTCAATGAGTGGAGGGAGAACACAGAAATTTTACATTTACCGCGACTACAAAGAATTCATACCAATGACAATAAAACATGTTATCTTAGGTGCTTAAATATTCAAACTGATACAAAAAAAGATGGCCCTGTGATCTTTTGTGTGTATTTTTCTTAACAATAAAAACGGTTAGATTTTATTGTATACAAATTGTAGCCCAATTTCAACTTAAAGTGTGTCTTAATTCTAGAACTTTCTTAGAATAGACAGCAGTATTCTCCAGGACCGGCTTGACCAACACGCCTCCCTTGATGACAAGGAAACAGCACAGTGCGGCCTCAGGAGGAGGCAGAGGGGAAAGAGCCACTTAGCACCCGTGTGTGAGTGCACACCCTCCAGGGAGGTCTTCCTCCGCTTTCTAATTCTTCTTAAAGACTCAGGAAGTTGGCCGACTGATGCCTTCTGGCTTAAATCTTTTCAAAGGCAGCCAAAGAGGTTCCGCCCCCAGAGCTGTGATGGTGAGCAGCTGACTTGGGTCTCTGGAAAACCATCTCTCAGGCCTCAGGGGCTGTGTCTCCACGCTTGAGGCAGCGCATGGCAAAAGTCCCCAGAGCCCCCAAGGGGATGCACATGGTGGAGGAAGCCACGAGAAGCCCAATGAAGGCCAGCGCATACGGCGGGTAGTCCTTGGTCACAAGCTGGCCCTGAAAGGAGAATTCAGGGTCAGCAGATAGAACCTCCCCAAGATGATTCTTAGGAGCACGCCACACCCTCCAGGCCTCAGATCCCCCATGGTGGTGCAGGAGCTGGAGCTGATGGGCTTGGGAGTCTGTGCCTCTCAGGCCACCCCTGGCCCTGCAGGTCACTAGCAGGTACTCCAGATAGACTGTCTGCCCACTTATCTTTTTCTTCCCCTTAAACAAATAGACTAATAGCACATGCTCTGACTTGTGTGCTCAGAGCTCTTGTTTGGAGCTAAGCCATAAACAATAACCACAAGCAACAGTTTTAGGTTTGTGGCTACCACCTCCAAACCCCAAAACCAAACCAGTGCCATCATCAAGTCAGGTCAAGCCCGTGTGGGTCACAGTCAAACAGAAGCGTGGTGTGTACACCAGCTGACACTCACAATGGGCTATATGCACCGGCCATAGTTAGCTTTAGTTTGTAGTCAGGCAATTACAGAAAACAGACAATAAGGCATTTGGGAACTATTTCAGCAATGTGGAAGAGTAATCATGCGTCTGTTTTTATCTTAATTCTATTAAAAAATAGAGCTTGTTTTTGTCTACTTTTTCAATTCACTTTCTAAGTGATTCCTGTTGATTGCATTTTATGAGTATTAGTTTGCTAGGAGCTGGAGAAAAACAACAGCAGCAAAGCTTCTCCCTATGATGCCACCGCCCACGTCATACCTGTGTAGGCTCTGTGCTCTATGGAGTGGTGTAAGTGGGGTGTCTTGGGGTCTGTATACCCCAGTGTGGAATTACCCAGCTTATGGTGAACACAGGTTAAGAGATCAGTACGTAAGCACAGGTCAGTCCAGTCTTGCTTTTTAAATGAGGTAATTTGCCCCAGTATACATGCTTCTCTGCATATACCCACAGGAAAAGAAATCCAAATTGGCCACTGGGCATAACTCCCTTGAGGAAGTAGATTTGTTCATGGATGGCCCAGACTGAGTCTCAGATTGATATGACTTCTCTGGCCGGTAAATGCTCAAATATTGTCCTTCTGGCTGGTGTCAGTGGCTGCCGGACCCCTGTGTAAGCAGTACTGTCCCGGTCACACCTAAGGTCAATGCAGACTCACTCAGGATCCAGGAACTCAAGGCCCAAGGCCTTGTTCCACCCAGGCCTCAGCGGGGCCTCCTGTAGAGGTCAGAGTTCAGGAGCAAGGGGTCATGCCCTCCAGCTTGATTGGTTTTTACTACAGTGGAAGGAGGTCAGAGGGCCAACTGACCAAGGGAATGGGTGGGAAACAGCACCTGGAAAGGGAGACTTTTCCTCAGTTTTCAGAAAAAGTCCACTGAGGAGCTCTGGACAGGACACACACACTGCCCATCACTGCTATTGAGGGCCCAACGAAACAACAACTCCTTGCCGTAGAGTCAGAATCAACCCCTAGCTGACCCTCCAGCAGGTTTCCAGAGGCGGTAAATCACACAGAGGAAACTGCCCATCTTTCTTCTTTGGAGCAGCTGGTGGATTTGAACTGCCTACCTTTGGGTTGACAGTGTAATTCCTTAACTGCTAAGCTACCAGCACTAAGCATTTTTAAATACTTCAGTGATGTTTCTTTGTTGGGACACATAACCTGGTCAAGCCCCCGAGGGGATTTATTTCCTTGATTTCAGAGCACCGGAGGCTGGTGCTTTGCAGCGACCTTGGGGGCCGAGCCCAGCCCTATGGGACAGGGAGGGTACCTGGGAGGCGTCCCAGGCCTGGTATTGCAGCGTTCCTGTGAGGATGTAGTCACACAGGTAGAAGATGAAAAGGCTGATGATTAGCAGCGGGCTCACGCCGGCCCACATGATCTTCCAGTACCAGTTCAGGCCACGGCCAGTCATGGACCGCAGGTCACTTTCAAATCTATTTAGAAACAGGAGAAAAGTCTGATTATCTTTGAAGCTGGAGGCGAGGGCAGGGAGCTTGCACATCCCTGCTGGGTCTGGAAGATTCTGGTCTGGGCACCAGAGATGCTGGTGCAGGACCTGGATACAGGGAGGGAGAGGCTGCACCAGGAATCGACACTATGACTTAGGCTTTCAGCTTCCAGAATTGGTCCTTCTCTAGTGCTTTCTGTGGGGAGAGTGGTGGTGTTGGGGGTGAGAGGTGAGAAGGGCGGAGACCACCACAAAGATGTGGCCAAGAACTGCCCCCTGACATCAAAAGACATCTTCCGGGTATAGGGCTTCTCGTGAAGACTGCTTAGCACGAACCAGAAGGACAATTTCCAGGAAAAGCGAGAACATAGAATCAACAGGACACCTGCCAAAGCCCAACCTTGCTACCTTTACTAACAGCAATTCTAACAGAAATGTCCCCGGAGCAGAATATTTTTTGTTCCTTGAAACCAGAGCAGATTTGCTGGGTGTTATACACTGAATTGTTATTATGTGCCATTTGAATCGCCTGCAACTCAAAGTGACCCTATGTACAGCAGCTCTGAACCCTGCTCTATTCTGAGCCAACCTCATTGTCTCTGACACACCTGTCCCCATTACTCTAGTCACCGAGTCAATCCATCTCATCTGGGGTCTTCCTCTCTTGCACTGTCCCTCTATCTCTCCAAGCATGATGTACCTCCTGGCAACATGTCCAAAATATGTGAGACGGAGCTTCAAAGTCCTTGCCTCCAAGGAGCAGCTCAGTTTCACCCTCTCCAGGACATTGTGTCCCCTCACATATGCACTGAAGTCCTTTATCTATGGAAAAGACTGGGAATGGGATTTCATTTTGAGATATTAATGTAGTCATAGCAAACCTAATCACTTCTGAGTGGTCAGAACCAGTCCAAATAGAAAAAGAACATGCACAGTTGTAAGATAGACCCTGTGTTAGGCCCTGTCTACAAGCAAAGGGACCCTGGGATTGCCAGCAGTTACCATGAGGCAGGGGAGCGGCCAACAGAAGGACTCAACAAGGCTGAGCCGCTGGTTTAGATTTACAGCTTCCAGAACTGGGAGAAAAGAAATTTCTATTCTTTAAAGCCACCCCCTTGTGGTACTAGTATTATAGTAGCAAAAGGGAGCTGAAACACAAGGGCGGAGGAGGACTGAATGACGGATGATGGAAGCACTTTGGCCTCTTGAAACTAGAGGCAAGCCAGCGTTATTTCAAACTTTGCCCACCCTCACCACCACCCTGACTTCCATCAGGTCCACACGCCACCTCTCTTTTTCTTTCTGCTGATTTTAGCGAGAGTTGTTTCCTCGTGGTTTTGCCAGGCTCTGTATTTCTCCATAGTGCACACAGAAGTACGAGACGTCTCTTCAGCACTTTGAGGAACGCTGACCACCAGCCCAGTGTCCTCACTGAGAGGGGAGAGAGGACCAGGGCTGCCACGTGACTTGTCTGAGGAAGGGCTGAGGCAGGGCTAGAACCTGGGAGGCCTCCCGTTTTCCTGCCTCTTGTCCAGAGCTTTTAAAACTGTTCCCACAGCGAGGAGGCAACCATGGCAGGAGTCTGAGAGGGGCCTTGTATGGAGCAGAGGCTCCTCTAGTCCCTAAGAAGTTGTAGTGCTAAGCCAAAAGGGGCACTTCTCACACTTTAAATCCACCAATGACTCCACAGGAAAAAGGTAATCTCATCCCTTGTGGTAACAGCCTCCAAAACCTGCTGAAGGGTGAGCTATGTGTTGGTTCCAATTTAAGAGTTTGGATTGGAGTTGCAATCACGTCTTGCATATTTGAGACCTGGCCTGGTGCCTCCAGGCTGTGGATACACATGTGTATGCAACACTTGGGACTTTGAGAAGTGCACGAAGCGAAGGTGTTAGTGTTTCCTTAAATTTTTATTCCTAATCCCACCTCCTTGTGGGGGAGAGTTGGCTGGAGAAAGCCACTGCAGGACACTGTCAACAAGTCGCCACTAGATGGGGCTGTGCCCAAACAAACAGGAGGCCTCGGCGTCTCAGGCCACTAGAGTCTTCAGGGCCCCCCTGTTTCTCCCTGGGTCCCCATCACTTATCAAGCCCCTTTTGATGGAACAGTGTTCCCTCTATCTGGTGGCTCCAGTTTCTCTCTGTCCCCTGTACCATCTCTGTACCTCCAGATACCTACCTTCTCAAATTATTTTTCTCTCTAGTCTGGCCTTCCTTGGGTGACCAGTTGTCCCAGTTTATCTGGAACTTGGCCTGTTCTAATCTGGGGAGTCCTATGACCTAGATGATCCCTCAGTTCTGGACAAAGAGTGACAGGTCACATGAACACAAATGTCTGGGAGATGCCAGTAGCTGGCGGGGGCTCAGGAGGTGAGGAGATAGAAGGGTAGGGAGGAGAAGAATTCCTTAATCAGGTAAGTTTTAGAAGCGCTGCACATCATACCCCTCACTCCCTATGAGACTCTCCATGCTCCAGGGCCCTGGGAATTCTACAGAGAGGACTCTATTTGGCTTTGCTTGACTTTTAAACTCAAAAGCTCACTGCCATCGAGTCAGAGTCAACTCACAGTGGACCCTTCAGTGGTTTTCAGAGTCTGTAAATCACAGGGGAGGAGAATGATCACCTTTCTCCCAGGGAGCTTCTTGTGCGCTCTCTCCACCTTCCCAAGCCTGACGTTCCTCTCCAAGGACTGGGCCTTCCTTGCAACATGTCCAAAAGTATGTGAGATGGAGCTTCAGAATCCTGGCCTCCAAGGAGCATCCTGGTTTCATTCTCTCCAGGATGGACCTGTTCTCTTGGTGGTCTCAGGAAACCAGCGGAGGGAGGTCCCAAGTGGGAATCAGCTCAACAGCCTAGGTAGCAAGCTCCCTGGTGGGGCCCAGGCTGCAGGTTTGGAGACCTTTCAGTATAAAAGGTGCTAATAAGTTGATTCCAACTCAAGGTGACCCTTGTGACGAGGCTGTAATCTTTATAGATTTTTGTTTTCTTTATAAAAAAATCTGAAGAGAAAATAATATTCTCATCACTGAGCCAATAGGCAGCATCATGATAGATAGAGACAAGGTTGAAGTTGTCAGCAATTTTCTTTTACTTGGATCTACAATCCACACATATAGTAACAACAGTCAAGAAATCAAAAGACATGTTGTTGCAATGGAGAAATCTGCTGTCAAGGAGCTCTTTAAAGTGCTAAGGAGCAAGGATGTCACCTTGAAGACTAAGGTGGGCTGGACCCAAGCCAGGGCATTTCCAATGCTTTACATGCAGCCTGTGTTGGACAATGACTATGGATGACTGAAGAACTGATGCCTTTGAATTGTGGTCTTGACGAAAAGCATTGAATATACCACGAAATACCAAAAGAACCAACAACTCTGTCTTGGAGGAAGTGTAACCAGAGCGCTGCTTCGAGGCAGGGATGGGGACATTTGGTATCACATACTTTAGGCAAGCTGCTATGAGGGCTCGGTTCTTGGAAAAAAGACGTCATGGTGGAAACAGTGAAGGGTCAGAGAGAGAGAGGAAGACTCAATCAGATCAACTGACACAGATTGTAACAATGGACTTGAGCAAGACAGAGATCATGAGAATGGCATATGATAGGGCAAGGTTTCTATCTATTCTTCATAGTGTTGCAATGAGTCCTAATCAATTTGAAGGCGCTGAACAACAACAACAACAACAACAAAAACAACAACAACAACAACAACAATCTTTATGGAAACAGATCACCTAGTCTTTTTCCTACAAAGCTTCTGCTATTGTTGTACCATCAAGTCAGAACCGACCCATAGCTGAGCCTCTGGTGGTTTTCAGAGGCAGTTAATTGCACCGGAAGGGACCATCCTTCCCCAAAGAGCAGCTGGTGGGTTCGAACCGCATTCCTTTGGGATGGCAGCACAGCTTTTTGCCACTAGGCCACCAGCTGCTAGATGGATTTAAAATGCCAATACCTCAGTGCCCAGCCAAGTGCTTAACCTCTGTGCCACCGGGATTACTTGCACAGACACTAGTGGTTCTCAAAGTACGTTTCCGAGATCATAGCATCAGCATCGCTGGGGAGCTCATTAGAAATGGGAGGTCTTGGTCTCTGACCCAGACCTCCAGCATTAGAACGTGTCGGGGTGGGACCCAGAGAGGTTACGTTTTGACAAATGCTCACGTGGTTCTGATGCAGCCAGAAGCTTCTCTATGAAAAATGGTGTGAAAATGGCAATTAGCTTTAAATTGCTGGATGAGCTCTCCCAGCTGGCCACGGAAACGAGGATGGTGACCCGAAACTGCTCACTGGCGCCCCGTCAAGCGGCAACCGGACCTGGACATGCTGCATAAGCAGCTCTGGCTTGACCGCTGCTCGTGGCCCGAGGCCCGAGGCCCAGCTGCACATTCCATCCCCAGGGGGATTCCAAACATCCCGGCGCTGCGCTGACCACCAAGGGCTGGGAACCTACGGCATTTCGAGTTTGCCGAAATTTCTAGGGCGTAAGTTACCAGCTGGCCTTCACTCAGGGCTCATGAAGAATGCTGATGTTGGCCAGGGATCAGAGCCTCTTAGTGGCCAGAGGCACTTCCCTGCCGGAGCGCATCACAGGCGGGGCCCACTGATAGACACCCCGTGATACAATGTGAAAACATGGAAAATAGAGGACACTGGTAGAGGGCAAATCTGGGGCAGAGGGAAAATTTTGCAAATCCAACCAAGCAGCCAGTTGTGGTGGAGTCCATTGGCTTCACGATGACCTGTATGACAGGGTACAATCGTGCGCTGTAGGATTTTCATGGCTGATATTCTGGGAGTACATTGCCAGGCCTTTCTTCCGCACCTCTGAGCAGACCCAATGTCAACTTTTTGGTTAGTTGCTGAGCATATTAACAGTTTGCACCTCTCCCTCCCCCTCCAGGGACTCTTTCAGAGGCAAGGCCAAGCTTACAGAAACCCATCAGTGTGGAAACCACTTGGCCGGCAGGGGACATGGGGCGTGCCTCACCTCCTCAGCCCGAACACGTAACACACGGAGATGGTCTCCACCAGGACGATGAGCAGCAGGGACAGGGTGGCCGCGTAGTCATTGAATATGTCGAACCAGTAGCTGCCGGCATCCATGGTGAACACCATGCCAACGGCGCAGCTGAGGAGACACACCAGACCTGCGGGCCACAAGACCACCTACTCACCTGCCTGAGATGCCGCCGTCCTGGTGGGCCCTGCAGTCCACAGCGGCAGACAGCTCCCCAGCACACCCCCTCCCCGCCCCCCAGCCCTTGCCTGCGTATCCAATTGTCCAGGGGGCAGCAGGAGCCGCAGAGCACCTCCTGGCAGGGCATGGTTGGTCAATGGGTTCATCCGAATGAGTTGGAAGAGCTGTTGCCACACAGTTTTGTTTCTCAGAATGTAATGTGTGTGTGTGTGTGTGTGTGTGTGTGTGTGTGTGTGTGTGTGTGTGATAACAAGGTCTCAAAGAGTGTCAGCTGGAGTCACTGATGCAATTCACAGAGGTGTCCTGCAGGGGTCAGTGGGCTCAATGGAAAGGCAGAAGTTGTGGGCATTGCTATTGGGAATCTCAGCAAACTGTCTTCCAGACTGGTTGTACCATTTTACAATCCCATCAACAGTGTATGAAAGTTCCAATCTTTATGCATCCTCTCTGACAATCTCTTGGTTGCTGTCCTGTTAAATAAACTTTGCCACTTTTGTGTTTTGTTGTTTTCTTTATGAAGGTCTTTTGTGTCTCTTACTTCCTTCTCTTGACACATTTCCCTAGCAAGTACTTCTAATACAATATTGATTAGGAGAGGTGACAGTGGGCATACTTGTCTGGCCCCATTTGCAAGGAGAATGCTTTTAGTCTTTCTTCATTGAGAATCTGTTGGGAATCTCATGCAGGCTTCTGTCTGAGCTGGGGTGGCGTGGTCCACGGGGAGTTGTGCGGCAGGGTCAGTGATTAGTCAGTTCCATCTCGACAGCACTGCTTGAGTTTTTGTCCGGTCTCCATGCTCACGGGAGGTAAATCAAGGGACGCCTGAGCCGTGGAGGACCTTCATCAAGATCTCCTAGACAAGGTTCTATCCCCCAGGTGGGAAAAGGAGAACGTGAATATCTGCCCAGCTCCAATGTGCGAGGTACCCTCCAGGTCAGATGTCAGTGACCCCCTCTCAGAGATGAGGAAGGCAAATCTCAGAGATGTCATCTGACTCCTTCCTTGGGCCTTATGACAGGTAAGTGGCAGAGACAGGATTCAGACACAGGACAGTTTGTTTCCAAAGCCTGAGTTCTTGTCCCAGTCCCCTTGAGGTTGCCTCCTTTGGACACCCCAAAAGGAAGCGTTTGATTTTTCTAGTTACAACCCCAACCCCGCTCTTTCCACTGTCACGCCACAGACCGTCAGCACACCAAGGGCTTCCAAGTGGCGCTTGCTGGTTCAGTCACGACTGATGAAGTGAAATTGAACTGGATACAGATTCGTAAATATGAGTGAAATGAACCCATAACTGGAATGGGAAAAATCTAGAAACGCAATCTTCTTAGAAAATAAGGGCAGTAATAACACACAAGTCAATATTTTTTCTGCTCTTCACTGCTTTCAGCCAGCATCCATCTAATACCAGCAATGATATCTCTCATTTGATGGCCTCTTCTCAATCCAGCTTGAATTTCTAGCACTTCTCTCTGGAAAGCTGGTCATCTTTGAGGAATCTTCAGAAGATTTGACCTCCATGTCATTGTAATGACTTTTGATAATTTCTTCACTCTAACAGAGGGATTGATGTCTTATTTTTCTACGTTCTTAGATTATCCAAGATGAGGAGATGACCACGGCAAGAAGGTTGTGAGGTTGTTGACGACCTCTGACCGCCTCTAAAAACACAAAGCTCCCAGGAAAACCCATTCAATCCACTTGCTCTCCACCATCCCAACCTGCCCTGCCCCCACCCGCACGGCTGACCTGCTGACCTGAGATGGCCTCCTTGGGCAGATATCTGGAGACGACCTTGCTGTCGGTCAGCGGGGTGAGGATGGCCGCTGTGTTCCCTAGCATACTCCCAATGCCCAGCATCAGCAGCATGAAGAAGTACAGCACCGACCACAACTGGGACACCTCCATGTTTTTAATGGCCTCGGTGTAGACGATGAAAGCCAGGCCAGTCCCCTGGACTGCCTGCCCGTGGGGAAAAGACACCAGTTACACACCAAGGGACTTACACACACTGGATGGTGAGCCCCTTTATAGACCCTGGACCTGGATTCCTATTTCTGCTGGCCACAAGAATCACATTCTATGACTGGACCGTCCATCTGCAGACCAGCCCCTCAGACTCAGCTGGGAGAAAATGGAAATGTGAATTACCAGAAGATAATATTTATAGAGGAGGCTGAGAACTCTCAGTTAGTTTTGAACACCGAGTCCCCCTCTCCCATCCAAACTCTTGTAAATTCTGAATTAAATAGTATTTGGATAAACTTCTGCTTCTATTTTCATGACTATGTATTTTACGACCTTGGTGTCTGGGTACTAAGATGGAACAGAGGGTTCACAGCCAGGATGCTGTGGAACTTACTTGAGGAAATAACTTGGTTACCTCTGGCAAGAGGGTCAAAATTATGTGTGGCCATATTTCTGTGCTAATGTTGTTGCAGAAATATTAAGATGTGGCACAGTGGTGAGGTGGAGAACTTCAGTTTAATGACAAATCCCTTGAGGTAGTTTTAAAGGAATCATGCTTTGGATGTGCCACCTGGCTTAAATAGACTTCTACATATATATGTATATGTATATGTATGTGTAGATATATACACACATACATGCATATATACACACATACATACATACATATACACACACATATATGTATATATTTTTATATATACACACACACTTCTACTTTTAAGCTATAAGTAGAAGCAAACTCTCTGGGTGCAGGAGTGGTGTCTCTAATTTAAGACCCAGAAATTAACATCAAATGGTGAACTCAAAAACAGAGATTAGGGGAGCTCTGGTGGCCTAGTGGCAAGGAACTGCAACTACAATCCCAGAGGCTCAGGGTTCGAACACACCAGATGCTCTGCCGGGGAAGGAGGGACAATCTCCTCCTGTACCAGTCAGATCTGATTTGACGGTACACGCACACAAAAAAATAATTTAAAAAAATAAACAAAAAACCCCCAGAGATTAGAAAACACATAAAAAGGCAAGCAACTATGAGTCAGTATAAATAAGAAATACTATATTTAAAACACTTCTTTACAAAGGTTAGATTGCCATTTACACACTATCAAACTCCTCCCTCCCAAACCTCAAACTCATTGCCATAGAATTGAAACCAACTCATAGCTGACCGGCAGATTTTTCAGAGGCTGCAACTTGCTCAGGGGATTGTCCATCTTTGTCCTTTAGACACTGGTGAATTTGAACACCAGAGACACATCCTCTATCAGCCAGCAGGCTCACCCTGTGCAAAAGCTCCCTAAGAACTACACTGCCAGAGCTCTCTTTATTCAGAAGACAGGATACTCAATGGCATGCCAAGGGGGGGCATAGAGAATGCCCACCTTAGGTGTAAACAATAAAGAGGTGGTGGTACGTCACCTTAGAAAACATAGTAAAACAAGAAAACCTTCCAAACATTTAATTTCTTTTTATTATTGTCATGAGCTGGTACTTCTCTGTCATGTCAGTGTCTCTCACTAGGACAGACTAGTCTCATTCTCCTGTCCACAGCCACCACTGATATTACTGTGTATGAAGTGTTTAAATAAAATACAAAGATAAACATACAAGCATAAACTATTAGAATGAATAAGTAAATTTTTTAAAAGTGCTTGAAAACAACAAAAAATATGATTATAGAGTTAAAAAGCTTAATTGGTAGTTACATACATGATTAGATGCAGCTGAAGAGAGAATTAAAAATTGGAAGACATATCTTAGGAATGAATCAAGAAAACAGAAGAAAAACATAATGGGGGGAAAAGGAACAAAAAGGTTAAGAGATATATAGGACAGGATGAGAAGGTATAACAGGTAGAACAAGATTCTTAATAAAAGATATTTTTTAAAAAAATCTATGACTAAAATGAATTGAAGAATGAAGGATTTGAATAAAAGATGAACTAACGTATACCCCTAAATAAAAATTACAAATAAAAAAGATATTTCCTTTTTCAAAATTAAACTATAGAATCTATACAATTCTAAGAAAAATTTTTCAAAGGGATTATTTTTCCAAAAGAAAAATTGATTCTAATGTTCATGTGAAAAAAGAGAAAAGTCTCAGTAAGTAAAGATAATTTTATAAAATTAAAAAAATGATAATTTTAGCAGCAAATTTTTTTAAAAGAATAAGCTAAATATAAACTAAGAGGGAGTTGGGTAAATATATTTTACTAGCTATATTGAATATATTTTGTTTAATATATATTTTCATTATATATCATATAAATATATATTATGTATATTTTATTTTTAATGTATATTATAAATGTATTTTAATAGATATTGCTGTATCTGATATTATGATGTTACTGTATGCTGTCGAGTGGGAACTGACCCATAGCTGACTCTCCGGTGGGTTTTCAGAGGCAGTAAATCACACAGGAGGAGACTGCCCATCCTTCTTCCACAAATGGGCAATAAACATGCTTAAATGAATATTCTTGTCTCTAGTAAACAGAGAATAGCTTAGGATAAGTAACAAAGGAACTTCAACTTTGCCCCTATTGTGTTCTGGTTTGTTTTTCTCTTTTTCTTTTATGTTCTATAGAAATCTGAACTCCAAACGACAAAGTAAGAGTTATTAGCACTTTCCTGCATTTTTGAAACTTAAAAAGAGGAAGGGGGGTGGGGAGGACACAGACAATCTGAAGAAACCTTATGATAATCAGGGCTCCTACTTAGCCCCTGAGAACAGTGGTTCTCAGCATTCTCTGCAAATGGACAGGGGACATAAGTTTCTTTTCCTTGATTTTCAGGGACAGCACGTTTCCCTGAAGCCCCACCTTCCGCCTCCCACTGCTTTCTTATCTGTAGCCTTTGGAGGAATTGGGTTCCTTTGAAGCTGCACGCTCCCTAATTTCCACAGAGCACTTACTGTGTCTAGCTCTGATTCCAAGCTGCAGTTTTTAATCTGGGGGAACACCTCACTGTATTTGCTTGGGTAAGTGGACGCCAGGTAGGTCTTCATTTGCTCCAAGTTGCTGGCTGTCAAATAGCCGTCTTCAAGTTCAAAAGAATTGGTCAGCAGCAGAATCACCCTGTCGAGTAGACCATCAGATTGGCCTTCACTGAACAGAAAGGCCATACAGTCTCCAAACCTTCTCAGAAGCCTGGGGTTCTGAGAGAGGCTGCCCCTCCCCTCAGTCTCTTATTTTCTCATTACATAGGTCACATTAGATCCCTCTCCCCTCCAACAAAGAAATTTCTGTTGACTAGTGCCCCTTTTAAAAGGGCAGGATCATTCTGAATGACTCTGAGGAAATTTCAAATAAGATCAGCAATGACAGCGGGAACTAAGCCTACAGTTAGACTATATTAAGCCTCCCGGCCAGTGCTCTCCAATGAAACTGTCTGTGATGATGGACAATGTCTATATCTGTGCTGTCCAATATGGTAGCCACTAGCCGTGTGTGACGACTGAGCAGCTGCAGGGTGACAGAGGAAGCTGCACGCTGCTGTCGTCTCTGATTTAAATTTATCGGTAGTCATTTGTTGCTAGTGAATGTCATAGTGGACCGAAGACTCTGGAGGAAGTGTCTTTTATATTTAATAAAGAACTACAAAAATGAAAGCCTTTAATTTATATAGCTGAACTAGAGAGCTCTTCATTCCTCTTGAGGTGGGAGAGATGGGGCAAACGAAATGATAACTTGTATGTTGAATGTCCTAGTGTGTTAAGTGTTTTGAAAAGTTGAGCCCTCCCTAAAGAAACCAGAACTGCCACCCACGCAGATATATGCACACCCTTGTTTATTGCTGCTTTGTTCACAATAGCAAAGAGTTGGAAACAACCCAAGTGCCTATCAACAAATGAATGGATAGAGAAGCTCTGGTATATTCAGACAATGGGTTACTACACTGCATTGAAAAACAAGGAACTCATGCAATATTATTCAAAATGGGTGAGCCTGGAGGACATTATGCTGAGTGAAATATTTCAGTCACAAAAGGACAAATACTGCGTGGTGCCACTGTTGTAAAATGGGACTGACATTGGAATTGGGGGGGGGGGAACCTAAGAAAAGAGGGGATAAATAATGTATACTGCTTAGAAACAGATGAGGTAGAGAACTGTTTAAAAGGAATATATGATTAGGTATTATTTTCATGACAAGATTCTAGAAAAAGAAATTCATAGTAAAATTAACTGTGGACTGGAGGAGGAGAGGGGATTGTATAACAATGAAATAATTTTTTTTTTCCTTTTCAAAGAGAAATGTGAACTAAGGAGAGGGGTGGGAAGGGAGAAAAATGTGTAACAATGAATGAATGAGAAAAAAAATTAAATGGGAAGAATAGGCTGTGAAAAAAGGGAAAATGTATATTGGATATTACATATAATATGAATGACATTGTTCAATTAAAAAAAAGGAGAGAAAAAAAGAAAAAGTTGAGCCCTTTCATTCCTACAAGGCAGACATGGAGTTGCCCGAAGTCCCTCAGGTACTTGGGAGTCGGTGTTGGTGTTGGTGTAAATTTGAATCCTGCATTGAAGTCTCAGAGTTGGAGTTCTTGATTTCCTGGGGACCACTGTGTCCCAGCTGCCCCTCCAGCTCAGAGCTTCGGGGAGGACTTGTTTCCCCATTTCAAGTGGGACTTTAGAGGGGCTACCCAGGCTTACTTGTTTAAGCAGTTCTCGTAGTTAAAGGTGGCCTTGAAGCCATAGATGGAGAAGGTAACGATGCTGGCGAAGATGGAGGTGGAGCTGTTGATGAGAGACACGATGATGGCGTGCTTCTGGCAGTTGTTGGCGGGGTCGTTGTAGCTGGCAAAGGCAATCAGGCTGCCGAAGCCCAGGCCCAGGGAGAAGAAGATCTGTGTGGCTGCATTGATCCAGGCCTTGGGGTTGGCCAGTTGCTCCAACTAGAGGGTCAACAGGGGATGGGGGACAGGCCTAGTGAACCCTGGGGGAGAATCTTAGACTCTCCGATCTGCAAAGGGAAGGAGGCCCAGCGCAGGGAGGAAAGGGCACATGAGCTCACGGCCAGGCAGAGGCAGGCCTGAAGCCTGGGGCTTTCTGTTCCCCAGCAGATAAAGCACACAAGCTCTCTTCATGGTGTATCCACAGCCGCTTACACGCTGGAGGCTCTCTAATGAAATGGTCAGATACAACAACCCAGCAACATATTACGTCCCTCATCTGTGACCTTCGCAGGCAGCTAAGAGTCTCAGCATCCAGGGCGTAGTGGAGGCCTAGGCCTGGCTTTGAATCTCAGCACCAGCACTAATGGGTGTTTGAAAATGGGAGGGGACTACTCTGCATCATTGCATTTTATTTCCAGTGTGGGACTTGCTACATGAGGAACTTGTCCTGCCCCAAAGGCCTGAAGCCTCTATGGAACACGGAGGGGGGAGGAGCACTGTGGGGTACCTGGAGAGCACTGGGTTCAGGAAGGGCCGCAGACAGCCTGACAAGAGAGAGATCTGTCCCTACGAAAAACGGGGTGACATAGATGAGCTGTAAGTAGGAGAATAATATTAATGGTAGACAAGCTTCTTGTTGTTTGCCATCTAGTCATAACTGACCTGTCAGTGGGTTCCCAGAGGCAGTTAATCACAGGAGAGAAGATTTCCCATCCTTCTCCTGAGGAGAAGCTGGTGGATTTGAACTGCTTGCCTTTGGGATTGCTGCACAGGGATCACAGTGCAGCTGCCTACCACGAGGACACTACAGTAGAAGGTGAGTTTTAGGGATTGAATTGTGTTCCCTCAAAAGATAGGCTGAAAGGGAGCTCTGGTGGCCTAGTGGCAAGAAGCTGCACTGTCATCCCAGAGATATGTGGTTTGAATCCTCCAGACGCTCTGCTGGAGAAGGAGGGGCAATCTCCTCCCGTACCAGTCAGATCCGATTTGACGGTACACACAAAAATAATAAAATAAAAATTTAAAAAAAAAAAGCTATGCTGAAATCCTAACCCTGTCCCTGTGACTATGACCTTATTTAGGGGAAATAGGTTTTTCATTGTGGTTGTTCAATTAAAGAGGTCATGGAGGAGTAGAGTAGGTCCCGAGCCCTTCTGACAGGGGTCTTATAAAAGGAAAGAATAGGTATATGGAAAGAGAGTCATCCATGGCAAAGATATTATGAGAAGCTATATCTACAAGCCAAGGAAGCCTAAGAAATACCCAGAACTCCCAGGAATTCAGGGAGCTCAGGTGGCCTAGTGGTAAGGAATTGTGCTGCCAACCCAAAGGCAGGCAGTTCAAATCCACCAGCTACTTCATTGAGAAAGATGGATAATCTCCCATGTGTTTTACGGCCACTGGAGAATCAGTTATGAGTTGGTTCCAAACTGAAGGCACACAATAACAAAAGCAGAAGCTTGGAGAGACAAGGACGGACCTTCCCCTGTGTCAGGCACTGTAGGTCTTGCCTATACCTTGAAAGTGGCGTTTTAGAGTGCTGAGAAAAGAGAATTCTATCTTTAAAGGCCCCCACCTTGTGACCTTCTGTTATACCAGCACAAAATGACTAAGACAGTGGTTTGGAGCAAGACTTGGGGTGGGAGGAATGGCCAGCAATCAACCGGAAGAAGGGGAAGCTAGAACGGTGGAGTAAAGACGTGACACCCTAGGATTATGAGGGACAGCTGAAGATGTCATAGTTTGCTCTAGGTCACTCACTTGAAAGTGAGTGGTTCAAACCCGCTCAGAGGGACTATGCAAGAAAAGCCAACTTTTGTGAAAATAATCACCGAGAAAACCCTGAGGTGGAATTCCAGTTCTCCACATGAGTGGTTGCCGTGAGTTGGAATTGAGTTGATGGCAGGGGGCTGTTTGTCCTATAAGGGTTTTATTATGGGCAGCGGTGGTGGTGGTCCAGCCTAGGTAGGCGATCCAGGTAACCAACACCGTCACTGCAACCTGGTGGGTTCACATCAACCTCCCTGGGTCCTCTCTGCCATCCTTGTCCCCTTCCCCCCTTCCTTGAACTTGGCAGGATGGGGAGTGCACCCTCCCCTCAGGGCCCCCTCTCTCCACATGTGTACCTTGGGAGTGAACATGTACGTCAGGCCGTTGGTGGCTCCGTGGAGCGTGAGACCTCTCACCAAGTAGATGATTAACACGCAATACGGCAGCGACGCAGTGAAGTACACCACCTGTGGGCGCCAGAGGACAGAGTCAGCTTCCCCGAGGCATGGTGGCCACGTGGCCCCCTTCTGCTTAACACAACTCCATTGTCCCCCCAAACCTTCACAGTGTCTCTGGATAGTCCAGAGAGATTCTTTGTCAGATGCAGGTTCTGTGTTGGAGCTGGAGAAATAGGGTGATAGGATGTGATTGTCTACATCTGTACCAGCCAGGAAATCACAGTCAGCAGAGAGAAGTGAAACAGATCTTTGTTACGGACTGAACTGTGCCTTTCTCTCCTCAGATTATTCGTTGAATTTCTGGTTCTACCTGTGGCTCTGAGGTTGTTTGGAAATACTTCCCAGCCCCTCCCCCCCCCCAATGCTAATAAAGGGAACACTGGTTGCCTACTGGCAAGAATCTGTGCTGCAATCCCGCAGGCCCTTGGTTCAAATCCACCAGTTGCTCCACAGAAGAAGGATGGACAATCTCCTCCTGTGTAGATTAACTGCCTCTGAAAACCCACTGGAGGGTCAGTTATGGTTCAGTTCTGACTCAGTGGTACACAATAACAACAACAATGCTAGTAAGGTCATATCATTGTAGGATGGGTCCTAAACCTAATAATTTCTTGGTTATAAAAAGATCAGAACAGAGAGAGATACTCATTTCATGTGAGGGCCAAGGGATGCCAAGGGACATCTGGGCTACAGACAAGGAGGAATCAACATGGCTGAGACTCCGGCTTGGACTTTTAGCCTCTGGAAACCAACCATATTACTTCTTGGAGATTTCTAAGTAAAGAAATCAATGTTAAAAGAAAAGGTGATCAATCCAGTAAGATGCACTTAAAGGAAAAGGTAGATGCACAGTGTGTGTGCAAGGCTCTCCCCCTTATTACAGGTGAGTCAAATATAACTCTGAGCTTCCTAGTGGCCTAAGCAAAGCAGGAAACACAACCACTTACCAGATGTATAAAGTCTCAAGGGGGGAAAAAAAGTCAGGAGTGTGAAGGCAGGCCAGCTTATCCCAGGGCTGGGCTTTGCCAAGTGCTCATAAAGCACAAGTTTTAATGGTACCAGTCTAACAACCAAGGTCCCTGTCATAAATACCACTGACTGGATTTTTATGACAATTCTCATGAAAGGTTTCACTTTTATGGACTTTAAAATTGCACCTAAATGAGATTTTTCGCCAACCAAAGCCTCTATTTCTACGGATTGGCATCACAAGTTCAGTGATGTTTTATCTTTGGTTTCCATGGTAACTCTAGAGGGTCAGCACATATCTGGGGTTGTTGTTATTATTAGTTCTCATTTTAACAGCCTTCAACCAGACAGCTTCAACCAGCTACGCAAGGTGGGAATTTTTACTTGTAAATCAAAACTGGTTTGTGAGGTTCGTTTTGTGTGCACATGGGCAATTCCTTTAAGAGCACGAGGCCCCCTGTGTAAATGACACTTGGCAACCCGTGTCCAGCTGGACTCAATGGCACTTGACCCTCCTGTTGCCTCCAAGGCATGATACCATCTTCCTGTCAAATGCTAAGGAATCTAGGGTTTGTCCCATGCCCTCTCACCCTGAGGACACCAGGCGGAGGTGTGTGTGTCTTTTTTATCATAGTTCATTAGATAGAGGGCATTGTAACTTGGGAAGAGTAATAAATCGATCCAAGACTTCAATAGAAGAAATCAAGTACAAGATAGAGATGTTGTTGTTAGAGCCTTGCCCCATTCTGCTCTATGCTCAGAGTCTTGGAGATGCTTGAACCCATTGTTCCTATGTCAGTGCATCTTTCCAAGGCCTTCCTCCAACCCTCCACCTTTCCCACCATCGTGGAGATGGGGCAATAGGAAAAGCGGGCACTTGGTTAAAGGTCTGAATGAACTTGATGGAGAACTGGCAAGGGGCACTAACATGTATAAATAGCCCACGGGCACAGAGATACTCAGGAAAGGCCCTGGAGTTCCTCCCTCGCTGGATGAGAAAATTCTGGAGGCTCCCTCCCCTCTGGAAAAGGAAGCTTTTCAGAAGGCTCCCTGGAGACATTACTAAGTTGGCACACATCTCCCCATAAAAGAACTCAGTAGGGCTGCTGGATGCATGGCAAAGCCTACCATGAGAACCTATTTCTGACCAATCTACAAAACTCCTGGAGTGAAAACAAAGGAGATCCTAAAAAACGGTCCAAGAAATGAGTTGGCCCCATGCTCGCTGGAGGGAAACGTTGCCCATTCTACGCAGCACAGCTTCTGCCCCCCACACAGGGGAGCCTCTCGGCCTTGCCCAGGGCTGGCCCAGCACCACCTGCAGGCAGAGCCCCGGGGGCCCACCTTGCCCGTTGACTCAGTGCCCCTCAGGATGCACAGATACACCACGAGCCAGGCCAGGATGAGGCACAGCGCCGGCTCCCACTGCACCCCCGAGTTCTCCTGGATGGACGGGGAGATGTTGAGGGTCTTCCTGTACCAGAAGTACTGCGTGGAGGTGGCCTTCTCACATTCCTCATCGTAGCTCGTGTGGTTACCGTTCAGCGGGCAGACAGACCACGGCAGGGGATCCTGTGGGAATCAAAACACACGTCATGCAGAGAAGATGAGAGCTAAGGCCAAAGATCAGGGGGTGACGAGGAGGTGACCTTGATAAGAGCTCCTGGCAGGGTAGGGTCCTCATCCCCAAAAGGCAGATGGACATCTGACAGAGGCAGAGGAGAGGAGAGTATACAAACGGACAATTGTCAACCAACGAGGACCATGATCTTTGCAGTGATTGGATCAGAAAAGTCAGGCATTGCTGCACATTTCCACCCCCTCCTTTCCTTGTCCTCCCACTGCATCCACTTTGCAATGCCCTCTTGTTCCAGATTGTTGTCATACATACAATCTAATCACACACGCCTTTCAGACAGTTCTCCCCTCATCTGTCCCAATGCAACGTTCATTATCTGTCCATTCTTTTCCTATTCTCCGCCTAACCCCCCATGCCAGTCCAATTTTATAACAGTGGAACAATGTATGAATGAAAAGCCAACCTTTCTGTAAACTTTTGTTCAAATTAAAAAAAAAAAAAGGTTAAAAGGAAAATCAGACAATGGTCACTTAGTGGCAGTTTCCCTACTTTTGGTCCTGCTTTCAACTCAGATCACAGGAAGTCGAATATGCTTCCCCAACCAATCCCACAGGATGCGTGGCTTCAAAGTCGGCCACCTCCAGCTGTCCTGTGCCAACAAGCCCCAATCAGGGTACACCTGACACCTGACACCTGGCTTTTGTGCTCCCTTAAAGCTCTCCCTTCCAGTGTCTGACAAATACAAGTGATGGTAGCCTCCTCTCTTATTTCATCAAGTTCTCAAGAAGCAGCCTCTGCTGGTTCTCATTTAGGAGCTCTGGTGGTAGTGGTTAAAGCATTTAGGTGGTTAAGCAAAAGGTCAACAGTTCAAACCCAACAGCAGCTGTGTGGGGGAAAGAGGCAGTCTGCACCCATAAAGAGTTACAGCTTTGGAAACCCCTTGAGGCAGTTTCATTCTGACCACAATGTCTGCTAGGGAGCTCTGTTAGCCTAGTGGTTAAGAATCTGCACTGTGATCTCGAAGATATGCAGTTCAAATCCACCTGGGTGAGTGAAGGCAGGTGAGTGAAAGCTGGTGAGTTAAGGCAGGTGAGTGGACGCAGGTGAGTGAAAGCTGGTGAGTTAAGGCAGGTGAGTGGAGGCTGGTGAGTTAAGGCAGGTGAGTGGACGCAGGTGAGTGGACGCAGGTGAGTGAAAGCTGGTGAGTTAAGGCAGGTGAGTGGAGGCAGGTGAGTGAAAGCTGGTGAATGAAACCACATAAGTGAAGCCCCATTGGAGTCAGTCAGTTGACACGAGCTGAGGCGTCATGCTGAATTTGGCCCAAATTTTTGACCCACAGAACTGTGAATAAGAAAATGATCTTTATTTGAAGTCAGTAGGATTGAGGGTAATTTGCTATATGACAGGTAACGGAAGCTCTGGTACCCAGTTCTTGAAACCCATGTGGCCATTTAATCTCCCTCTTTGCACTCCACGATTTGAGAAGCCACCTGCAATAAGACTTCCCTCATCAACACTGTGTCTGACGACTGCCCTCACCACCGCACCTGCCCTTGGAGCTCCTGGTGTTTGGCGGGGTTGAGGACACTTGAGTGGGAACGGCAGGTGTGGGCCTGGGTGTGGAGACCCGTGACCTCAATCCCCTAGCAGACTCTTGATCTATCTGCAAATCGGCATCTTCCACATCGATCCTGAGCCCAGCACCGTGGAACCCTCCTCAGCCCAGTCCCAGCATCCTCTACCAAACAATGGGAGAGAAAGTAGGAGATCCCTGCTGTCTTTGGGATGAAAATGAGCTTGTCAATCCAATGGGTGGCCCAGGGTGTAAATCCCATGTCTGTTAGGTGGTTGAC